TTAGAAGTTAGAGATCTTCCTCACATAACGACCAATTCTGTGCGGGCGTCCAAGGAAATGCCATCCCAGAACATCAATGACCGACCATGGACCGCACCCTGAAGAACCGTACAGCATGTGGCCTACGTTTCTGCTAAGCGTCTCCTTATGAAATTACGCCTATCTGAAGATTAGGCCTACTCACTTCGCCTTAAGAACTCGCCCTCAGTCTTTCAATGCCCAATTCAAATGTTCCCGTGCAAATTGAAGCCTGGCCAATTCCTGAGCTGTTGAAAGAAGAAGTTCACGATCCGGCTGCCGGGCTGTGAGCTTATTTTCAATGAGCCTTCTTCTTTCAGCACTGGAGAAACTGAAACATTTCGGACTTGTCTTTTCACATTTCTTATCTCATTTCCCGTAATGCTGCGGTTTCGTAGAGTCTGATGACCAAGCATCTATCGACTCCTTCGCCTATGGTCCTAGGACGACCCTGTCCTGGTCGAAGAACCCTCCCTATCGCAGAATGATTTACACTCAGTCAGCGTAGAATCTTAAGGCATATAAAGGAACAATTCTACTTTTTGTGCAAATGGGATTAATGACGTAAAAGTAAGCAAAAAGCAAGTAAAGAAAGCATTATTTTATTTTGACTACGATAGCTCCTAATAACTGTAACTAATGTAGAAAGATAATGGATTTAATTTTATACTAAATAAATTGAATGGTTAAATTTGTCCATGTGTAGTTTGGATTAGACCGATTGAATCAAAACTGCAGTTCATCAGCCTGCAAACCCCGTGAATAAATCTTACAAAATGAAATAGAACAATAGACCTCAATACGGAAAAAAGGCTGATAATGAACAAAAGAAGAAGAAACTGAAATAATCGGTACAAGTTCTTTAAATCTGTATTAAAATTACTTACCGCCCATGTTAAAAACATGAAAATTCGAAAAAAAAATTTAATGATTGACCCATGAGTAAGATTTTAGGACTTTTTGTCATTATTGACGTCGTCGATTGATTATTCTTTTCGACTGTTTTGTCGTCGTTTTGTGATTATTATTTATTATTTAAATGATTTATTTGTTAAAGGAGATTGTTGGAATTCTATTCAGCCAATTAATACAATTAAAAATTGTTGTAAATAATACTGTACTTTGTATGCAAAAAAACACTTCGAATAATTGCAGTCGTCGATATCGACAAGGTCTCAAATAAACTGATTACTGATTTATATAAGCGCAACTCTGCACATTTATCTACAAACGTGCACAGAATCAAACTTGTGGCAAGTCGTGAGAATCACCTACGTCAAGTTTTGGTATTCCGCGGTCGGACCTCTGGGAAGATACGATCCCCAGTGTTATTGACAAGTTCATTTCAGCCCCCAATTTATGCAATTTTTCAAAAGACATTCGAAAATGCTTCATTTCCTATTTATATCTCATTCACACATTGTATAACTAACCTAGCTCTGAATCAATTGTTACTATTCCTCTTCTGCCCTTTCACACTGCACTGTCACGCTAATAAATACTTTCATTCTCTAAATGCAAAAAGGCACACAAAACAAGACATCTTTCATGTTCTGTATAAGATAAAAGAGTCCGGTTTCCTTCAAATTGAAACAGAGGATCCAAATACTAGCTGCCATGTTCAGGTACAATTCTCGTATCAGGAGACTACTAGCTCTGAACATAGTGTCAAGGAATGGACACCCTTCAATCATGTCGAACACATTGAGCAACAACCTACCAAACACATACAAGTGTGTCAACTTCATATGGCCCATTCTCGTTTTTCGTTTTTTAATTTATAGGTTTATTTATCATCCTTGTCAATTGGACAAGTAAAATGTTTTAGAATTATGTCAACCACAATCTCACTTTAGACTAAGAGTGTTTTATTACTTTTTTTTTCATTTTCCTCTTTTCTTATTGCTTAAAGCAACTGTAATTTTGTTGCTGTTATAAATACAGGCATCATTCAATTTATCCCCTTTCATAAAGATGAAAATAATTAATAATAATAAATGTAATCCTTTTATTATTCTTCTGTAAATAGAATCCATTTAGTATCTATACACAATCTCATAACTTATACATTTCTTTAAGGTCATACTTTGACAATCAAGTAAAGAGATTTAAATCCATATATGTATTTAGTAGTCATAATTGGCAGTATTAATTATTTTAATTAATTATATATTTTATCTAAGGTTTTGGTTGAGATGAAAAAGCTAGTGTCATGAGAGGGATATGAGCCCGCCAAGAGAATTGAAGTCACAATAGCAAACAGTTTATTAGCCGAAGGTCGTTGGTTCAAATCCCGCTCATAGCACTAGCTTTTTCATCTCAACCAAGACCTTAGCTAAATTGTATAATTAATTAAAATGTTTGCAATGTTTACAAGTTCAGTAACTTTTTATCTTTATACCTTATAATAATAATTAAATTAGGTGATAATTTGTAAGCCATATTGCCGCTGTTAATTATAGGTCAAAGGAATATTAATTAAAATTAATTTCATGTTTTATGATTTACATTCAGCTCAGACCTTTTAATTGTATTTATTTCATAAAGGTTCAAATAATAATAATAATAATAATAATTCACTAATTTCGAGGTCCGCTTGAGCAATTAATATATTACAATTAATTAAGGTTTTTAGTTGAGATAAAAGTTAGTGTCCCAGTGGATCGAGGTCACGATAGCTCAAGTGGTAGAGCAGCGGCGTATCTAGCCGAAGATCGTGGGTTCGAATCCCGCTCGTGCCATTGACTTTTTTATATCAACTAAAAACCCAAATTAATTGTAAAATAATAATAATTTCACAACAGCTCAAGTGGTTAGAGCACCACTCTGGTGGTGTAATGAGCCGAAGGTTGTGGGTTTGAATCCCACTTGTGATACTTGCTTTTTCATCTCAACCAAAATGTTAGATAAAATGTATAATTAATTAAAATGTTTACAATCTTCAAGTTCATAGTTCAAGTTCAGTTTTATCATTATGCCTTATAATAATAATTAAATTATCTGATAATTTGTAACCCATGTTGCAGCTGTTAATTATAGGTCAAAATTATTAAAAGTATAATTAATTAAAATAATAATAAACGTTTCTTATGTCAACACAATAAACAGCAGTTGGTTTGGATTAATTTAAAACACACACGAATTTATTTTGTTAATGTTAATTTTTCTCATGATCAGAGTCGCTGATCATCAGACTTTAAATTTTTTGTCAGAAATGACTCCAGATGAACAACAATCCTTTTAAGTCCTTCTAACATTTTAAGAGTGGACATCAGCATCATCAAATCAGACATTATCAAAAAAAATTTAAAAAAATATGATTACAAATTCTTCTTATAAAAAAATGTATTCCCTTGCATTTTAATGTAAGAATGTCACAAAGATAATTATTTGATTCTGACTCCCATTTTAAATTATTTTTCTTTTATATAAGATTAGACAGATTTGAAAAATTCATTGCGCAAATAGGTAACTTTATATTTGCATAGCTATAGCTTCGAGGGGAGAACTCTAACGATGCCTGTTGATGCCATGACCCCTAAATTCAGTTTTGACAAAAAAAATATAATCAAAATACATTGTAGAGCAGATTGGGAGAAAGGGATCCCAGTTAATGACAACCAGAACTGAGTCAGGAGCTGGCATTTATGGAAATAAACCATGGACTAGAATTTATATAAGCCTTGGACAATACACCACCATCTTCCAAGTGGAAACTGTGACTATTGAACACTGTGTCGGGAGATCAAAAGGCAGGGGATTGTCAATAGAAGAATAGCCATCTACTCGGACAGCCAGGTGACACTGAAGGCAATTGCCGCATCGACGGTAAAGTTCAGAGTTGTTTGGGACTGCATCAAAGCTCCATCAGACATTGGGGAAAATAACAAAGCTACCCTTGTCTGGGTACCAGGGCACACATGGAAGAGGGGCAACGAAAAGGCTGACGAATTGGCCAAGGAAAGTTCGACAAATACACTTATTGTCCCAGAACACTTTTGTAGCATGCCAAACTGCCAAAAACACAAATCCATTATACAATGGATTAAAAATAAGTCCTCTGTTCAACGGAATGTAGCCCAGGACCAAGGCAAGCAAAAACTCTCAACACAACACACAAGAATGGCACAATTAAGCAGAAAACAAACACTTTGAGCCCTGAAGATGATCTCAATAAAGATCGAAACGTGGCAAGAAAAAGAAAATGTTTTTCTGAAACCTACATCACACCAGTCCGCATTTCACGATTTCCAAATAATCATCGACTAACGGTCACTAATCACCAAACGCATGCAAAAAAGTTTATCAAATGACCATCGCAGAATCTATCGGCAGAACTACTAAATCTAGGATGTACTAGGTCTAGAATAACAGTTGGACTGCTGACTTTTCACTGCAGACTCTGGAGATATATTTTTAGACTCGGAATGGCAGATGCTTATGCAGATATTGCCAAGAAGAAATAACAGAACATATCCTCTGTTGGTGCAAAGTCTGAGATTCCTAATCCTGGGAGAGGAAAAGCCAGGGCCTGAAGCAACAAAAGCAACATTTGTATTTGTTTTTTTACACTTTTGTGAGTGCTACAGTATGATTGTCGAAAGAGAAACATGTTTTCGATCTAAAACCTTGGAAATGGAATTATTCATTAACCCCTTTAACTGTCGGCCTCTAAGATATTCCTATTTTCTGTAAATTAGTTATTTTATATTGTACTCTTATAAGTGGTATTTTACTATTTTTTTAATATATTTTTCTTTTCTTTTACAAATTATCAGGTTATCATGCAAGTGTTATATTCGGAAGATTATAAAACTTATTTCATTGAAATTACACCTAAAGTCAGAGTGAGAAACAAATTTAATGCAAATCCCCTTTTAAAACAATATTAAAGATTTTGCATGAATGCATTTGCAAGATAAAATTAAGTTCTTTTAATCAAGTAGTAACTGATAGAAAATGGTTTACATAATAATATCACAAACTTTAAAATTTTTATATTTCAGGTTTGTCTTTATTCAGCAGTTATTGACAATTCTAACATCTACAATTCAATAACTTCATACTTTTTTAATTCGTTTTTAATTCTAAACAAATGCCCTTTGCAAACATTGGCTATCCTCGAACCTGACGAAGAGAGCGGCTCGAATCTGAGAATGTAAATACAATTTTCCAAATGTGCTTTGCCCTCCTCCAGGAGTTTGCTCTTCTCCAATTTTCCTTTGGTCCGGTTGTACTGTTCAAACATTGTCAAAAATAATTCCAGTAAAATCACAGCGTTGTAAAGCACTACTCGTGTGTTCTCGACGTCCAAAGTTGAACTCACGTCCAAAAGATCTTTGCACATGTCTGTATTAAATAAATATTCACAAATAAAAAAACGTTAAAAATGTTAATTCCAGTGTAATTTATGAAAGTTATACCATACCAATCTTTTTTTGAAGATCTTCATTACTCATTTTGTCATGAGTATATCCATCTTCCCTCCCTAAAAGTTGGACGAGCGAATGCTTCAACATAAAGCAGTGGTAGTGATTTTTGTGAACCAATTTTTCCAATTTCAGTAAGAAATCTTGAAGTTTCTTTACACTAGGACTCTAAAATAATTAAAACAAACCAAGTTTTTTCAAAACTGTGTGTACGTAGTTTGGCCATTTCTGATCATCCTAGTCTGCCTTTCCTCACTCTTTTGGCCTGTTTCAGACATGAAATAGAGCAATGAAAACACAAGGACTACCACCGAAGATATTGAAATGCCAAAAGTGTCTGATGAACACAAAAAAAACCAAAACAGGCAGTCTAACTTGATCAGAAAAAAATTACATGCTAATCATCTCACAATCCTAAAGGAAAACTCTCATAAAAATCATGTATGTTAAAATAATCAAAATTAAAAAAAAAACAAAAAACCTCCAATGTAGCATCTACATCGGCAGCAATCCTTGACATAAGATCAGCAACATGTCTCCCCGTTAGTATGACTGGACATTGAGTGCACTTCCAGTCAGAATTATCATCAACCGAGTTTTGAGGAAGAATCAGCCCGGTGCAAGGTGTGTTCTATAAAAGGTTTGTATTTTTTATTTTATTTTTAGTAAAAATATAACCCTCAAAGAATGAAAGTTGGTGTTACTATGTCATCCGGTGACGTTCCTATGCACTTCAGTGTGCTCAAATTAGTACCGAGCTCAGTTGGGTCCTGGCATCTTTTGCATTTGCACACAAAATATTTTGTATTCTTCAAGTGCTCAAGTCTGGCCGCTGTTCCCCATAACATGTGTGTGTACATAGTTGCTACATGATCGCCTCTAATAAACAAAATAAGTCGTCAATTGATCTTTATTAATTCATATTTATACTTTACTTCTTTAAATTTTGCGATGAGAGTACGGTGATTTTAAAATCTTCCAGTTGGATCATGTAACGAGTATTCGGGATGCAGCTGTGCTCCATTAAACACGCATTTGGATATAAGGCTGACAATTCACCATTTCCTAAAGAGAATTTTTTTTAGACGCTTTTTATTTTAATTAAATCATGGTTGTTGTTTAGGCATGCTGAATGTTGGGGGTTTTGATGAATGAAATCAACCAGGCTCTTACACATTCACATTTAATTATCGAAGCCTTAATTTTCTTCATATCTGGGAGCGAGAAATGACACAGTTGTTTTTGTTCATCAAAAATCCCAACATTCAGCATTTTTGGAGATGTTTAATTTAAATTTATTTATCGTACCTGTACCAATGTCCATAGCATTGACTTCAAGTATACCACATATCACATGAATAATTTCAACACTCATTTTTGGTAAGATTGAGTGGTCCAGCTTGCATAAAAAATTGTTTACAAGGTACTGAGCTATTTGATCCGTTTCCCTTTGAACATAACAAAAATGATTTATTTTATTTTTTAATTGGTAATTTTTTGTAGTTGTATTAAAAAAAATTTTAATGTATAATAATTTAATATATTAATAAAGAATAATCCAGGGCCTACTCATAAACATCGCTATCTTTCCCTCTTTTCTTGATATGTGATTCCATCGACATCAATTCATCCCATTTTTTTGGATTTCGTTTTTGCAACAGCAAACAACGTAAAGGAGTGACAGCTTCATAGCTACAGATAAAAGTCAAATTTTTAAAATAATGGTGTTAAATATGTATACATTGTTGGCTTACTAATATCCCAATTCATCAGTGTCTGTGTTCAAACTAAAGACAAGACACTCCTGCAAATGATGATGACGATGCGTCAGCCCTGGACAGTCAGCACTGCATGCAGGCCAGTTGCATTTCGGACACCTTGCCTCGATATTGTCCAAATCGAGGGGCTGGTAGCACCCTAAGCATTGAGGAGTCGGGCTGGAAAATTTCGGCCCAAATACGAGTGGCAATTCAGTGAGTATGGTGCCGTGTATTTCTATGTCTCGTTTGCATGTCAGGTATCGTCCAAGATCAGGACTCCTTTTCACCTGGTACATAAAACAACAGAAATTTTCGTTTCGTAAAGAACAAACATTTTTTAATTTAGCCCGGTTTAATCACACACCTCATATGGGTGACATGCAGTTTTGTGAATTTTCCAGTGTTCTCTCTGGTGTTCCTTGCTGCAATAGCTGACTTCACGACAAGCACCGCATAAAAGTCCCCCTTTTGCATTGCATATTGGGCATTTGCTGTTTTGACACATACCACTAGATATAAAAAAACTACCAAGCAACTAGGACTTTCTACGCCACTCCTTTTGGCTATTTATAAACACCATGTGAAGAGACAAGAATAGAATATTATTTTCCCTCTTGATTTCTCAATATAATTTGATTTGTCTAAAAGTCAATTTGAAATATGCTCTATTTATTTCTTGTTTTTTTGTACCTAAATAATAAAAAAATGCTTAATGCAATAACCTAGAGTGCAAAAGTTTATTTTTTTTGCAGTCAAAAAAATATATTCACAATATTTATAGCAACATGTTCAGCAATATTTTTTTCTACTTCTATACTTATATTTTATTAGGCATAGTACAGAAAAAACATACAATTGTACAATTCTTGGAAACAAAAGAAAAATATATACGTTTTATAACGTGTAAGGGTGAATCCCCTTCACACGATGCAAATTTGTTTCCTTGCAAGTGTAAAATAAAAATAAGAAAAAATATTTGTGCCACAAACTCAATTAAATTAGACGGAAAAGACAAAAATTGGAACCTGATCCAAATAAATTATAACAAAGCCTTCAAAAAAATAAATAAATGTATTTAGATTTGAAAAAATAAAAATATGTGATCTATGACATACGCACTCTCCTTGCCATTTACACAAAAAAGAGCAGGTGCCTTCAAGCAAAATTGAGGTAGAGTCCTTCCTAGTCCTTTCGTAGCTCAGCTCGCACTGCCCAAGCCTGCAGTAGGGGATTAGCTTATCCTTTGAGATAAGCTCCACGTTTTTAAAAATATTGTTATAGTTTATATAACTTAAGTTGATGTTATCGGCACCCTTGAGGTAAGTAACATTACTAAGCATATATAGAAAAAAATAATAATAATAATAATAATAGTTGTAAAATTAGATTACACATGACAATCTAAGAATTTTCCTTTTTAAGTAGAAGGTACTAATTTTCATTGATGTTCTTAGCCATGTACTCAAAAAGCCAACAGTTGACTTTTTTAAAATCCTTTGGGGTTTACTTCAAATTTGACAAAATTAGGGATCAAATGGAACCACATAGGGCTTACATACAAAAAACAATTCAATGTAAATGTTAATCTTTCAATTAATTAAGGTTTTTAGTTGAGATAAAAAAGTCAGTGTCACAAGCGGGATTCGAACCCACGATCTTCAGCTAGATACATATGCTGCTGCTCTACCATTTGAGCTATCGTGACCTCGATCCACTCGGACACTAACTTTCCATCTCAACCCCACCTTTTGAATTTTCCCTCCTTTCTGCCATTTTTCAATTGAAAGATATTAATTGGTCAAGCGGACCATGAAAACTAGTGGAAGTAAATGTTAATTTTTATTGGCGCAACACGCTATTTGTAGATTTTTTTTTATATTTGTCGGTGTAATTTCTACCTCTATTTTCTTTAGGTTTGGACAATGTAAAATATAGTATAGGTAAAATTTGGTATTTGAGGAAGAGTGGAAACCAATTTGCATTTACAAAACATTGCATGAATAATTTTTAGCTGTAGCATTTTCATACACACCCCCAGCAAACCGAGCATTTTGCTGTAATAAAACCAAATTAATTAATCAGTTCTCTTAAAGATTCTTAATAGGTACATCAGTGGTCACGATGTTGACACAGCACTCATCACAGTGGCAAGAGCCCCAGGTTCGAATCCAGTGGCCTTGCATTCAAACCCAACATACAAATGTTTTTTCTTTTTTTTTCTCAAAAACACCAGCACCCTGAGGGTTCATAAAAAAATTAATAATTAAATATATATATATATATATATATATATATCCNGGTTGAGAATCGGACCATGGACAATATGAACTTTTTTGTTCATTTTAGGGTGAAGAATCTACTGGAGAAGTTTGTAGCACGAGTAGCAATTCACCCTGTATATATAATAGTAACATAAAATTATTATGATTACATAAGATTTTTCTCTTTAAAAATGTCACTGTGGATTAAAGTTGAATAAGTAATTACATCAAAATGCATAATCGATAAAAAAAATGAGTTCAACAACATAATTAATTTGTTGAAGTCATGAATAAAGGATTTTAGAAAAAACACCTTTTTCATTTTTTTGCCGACGTTTCAACCTATATTTGGGTAATCTTCAGGGCATAAATTGTGGCGCTATTCTTTTGTTGTCATAATGGTTTTGTGACCATTTTGGCACCACAAGAATAGCACTACACTTTATGCCCTGTCGGTGACCCTAATAAAGGTCGAAACGTCGGCAAAAAAATGAAAAAGGTGTTTTTCTAAAATACTTTACCCCTGACTGCTCCTCACAACTTCACCAAATAATAACATAATTATTTCATTTAAAATTAGTTTGTATTAGAGAGACCTACACCAAAAGTAAAAATTGATTAACTTGAATTTTTGTTTCAAAATTTGTTTTCTGATCATTAAAAAACATCTTTACTTGGAATAAAAGTATTTTTACCATTTCTCCTGTCATGGTCAGTGATTAATTTCTTAATAAAACATGTTTTGAAGTTTAATCAATTCAAATATTTATTCTAAAAATTTACAAACTGCTGACTTAATCTTTCATGTAAATACCTATTACCTAATATGTATAGAAAGTGCTTTTTAAATTTAATCTAAATAATTGTTGGATTCATGAGGTGTGGTTAAGAATGAGGTAGTTTACAAAAACACTTTTTCCATTTTTGTGCCGACGTTTCGACCTATATTTGGGTCATCTTGAGATCATAAATTGTGGTGCTATTCCTGCTGTGTTTACATATCACTTTGTGTACATTGTAAGTGAATGAACTTATTAGTGTGAGGATCAATGCAGTGCCTGGGGAGCACAAACCCCGCTTCTTAGTATGCTCATTATCACCACAGTCTTTCAGTCGAGAAGCCAAAAAGCTCAATTCTGTCTAGTAAGTTAGAAATGTAATTTATCCAAAATCAATGTAAAACATGTCTGGCAGGCAAAAAGCTCATATAAATATTGTTTTACGCGTCTGTGGTTGCTGAGTGGTCAGTGTGATATTCTTGGCGCTAGACCCATTGTGGGTTCAATTCCCACCATCGCCCCTGGCCCCCTTTTCCATGCAACCTTCCCCCCCCCAGAAAAAAAATAAAAAATAAAAAAAGCACTACATATGATTTCACGTTCCTTGAGTAATATGCAAAATTCATAAGGTCATTAATAACAAAATTAAATTAAATTTGTAAAAACTTATTTTACTCTTAAAACTTACATAAAACATGATTTTAGAGTAAAACTTTTTTTTAATTACTATAATTAATATATACAACCATATTAATTATACTAATTAAAAAACTTAGATAATAATTAAAACATACATGTACATGTTTTTTGGTTAATATAAAAACCTGCTTTTAAACCACATAATAGAATACAAGCCAAGACACATTATTTTATATACCTCCAATTTTTATGATTCATTCAATCTTCCTGTGACATTAAAAATAATTTCCTTCAACCAAGTTAAACAATTTCTTCCAGTAAAAACCTAAATTTCCTTGGAAATTTTGACCTTATCAATGTGGAGGAAGTCTTGCCAATTAGAATGTAGGTCAAAGCACAAAAAAAAGTTGGGAAATCACAAGCAATAAAATAAAATGACGTAGAATATCAAAAATCATTTATATTTGCTCGTATATTTACATATTTACATCGGAAACAATGAATAAAAGAAAGACAAATAAAAAGTATCCGCAGGAAACATGGACAATTAATAAATACAATTATTCAGTGTGTTCATGATGTGCTTGAGCTTCCCTCCACGAGTTTTGAACCGCTTCGACTAGAACCCTCCATCCTTTTGATTTAGATATACCAACTGCCAATGTTATCAGGATGACAGCCCAAGCCAATCCGAGTATGTAATCCCTCTCTTTGGTCAACTTACTCGGCACTGGGCCTCCAAAGTCGCTTGACGATACAAACATCATTTCAACTGGTTTCATCCCTTCAAAAATAAAACAATTGGCAACTTATAAAGTCCAAGTTTAAAATAAATAAATACAAACCTGTAAATTGGATAATGAACATAGCAAACATTTTCAATGTGTATTCACTACCATTAAACTTAGCAACAGGGCGACCATTGTGAAAAAGCATAAGAGTCGGAACTCCAGCGATTCCGTATTGTGTATTAAAACTAAAAGAGGGGAAATTAATACAGATAATGTTTTTTAAAAGTGAAATACACACCTCTGATACAACATAGCATTGACTGCTGCCATTTTTATAGCTGGGAAAGCTCTAGGCAGGGCATTAAAATGAGGCGCTGCGAGACAACTGAATGGACATGTTTTTGAATAGAATAAAAGAACAACGCATTGCCCTTCCATGTGCCTATTTGTTACATTTGGATCTGGTAACAACAGTGAAGTGAGACGTGTAGAATTCACCAACTAAAAGTGAATCATTAAATCATTTAATTTTTCTTTTTAACAACCAAAATATAATAGTTACCTCAACAGTCATACTGCCCAGTTTTTTCTGTGTATTGCAATTAACTAGTGAAGTACCATTTTTGTCAGTGCCATTTTTACCACCTAGTAGCGTTCCATTGTCATTTAGCGTGAAATGTGTAAGAAAATCACTTTCAGTAGCTGCTTCAAATTCCGGGGTTGGATACAAATCTTTCTCAAGTTTTCTCTTCACAAGAAAAAAGAATACTTAACTGATAAAGTTTGCTAATTAAATAAATTGTCAATTTTTTTGACAATCTTCAAAACTTGAAAGTCAAATGGAAACTGTTTTTGGCAGACTTTAGATGTTTGAAAATTATAAATAAACAATTAACAAAATTCATAAAGTGATATAAAATAGTCTGCCAAATTTAAATAATGGAAGTAATTTGTTGATTATTTAATCAAGTTTGGGTATTTCTAGCTTTATTATATTTATTCAGAAATCGTGAGATGCGGTCTGGTGTGATATAGGTTTCAGAAAAACATTTTCTTTATCGTGCGTTTCAATCTTTATTGAGATCATCCTCAGGGCCTGGGATTTACAAACATTGTTTAAATTTAACAAATACACGTAGGATGTGGAAAAAAGTGAATTTATACAATGCAAAAAATATTTTTTATATTCAATCAAAGATCTCTACACCAGACCGCATCTCACAATTTTTGAATAATCATCGACTAAAGGTCACTAATCACCACACTTTATTAAATTATTTTCATAAAATCATGAAAAACCTTAAAGTAATTAAGTTAAAAATAATTCAATTAATTAAGGTTTTTAGTTGAGATAAAAAAGTCAGTGTCACGAGCGGGATTCGAACCCACGACCTTTGGCTAAATACGCCGCTGCTCTTCCACTTGAGCTATCGTGACTTCGATCCACTCGGACACCAACTTCTCATCTCAACCCCACCTTTTGAATTTTCCCTCCTTTTTGCCATTTTGCAAATGTCGTGTAATCTAATTTGATTTAATTTAAAGAATTAAAATGAAGTATACTTCACTAAAGCTCTCCGTGACTATTTCATTTGTCGCTGAGAATCAAATTAGATTACATGACATTTGAAAAATGGCAAAAAGGAGGGAAAATTCAAAAGGTGGGGTTGAAATGGGAAATTAGTACCCGAGAGGATCAAAGTCACGATAGCTCAAGTGGTAGAGTAAAGCAGTACCAAGCCGAAGGTCGTGGGTTCGAATCCCGCTCATGACACTGACTTTTTATCTCAACTAAAAACCATAATTAATTGAATGTACTAATTAGTCAAGCGGACCACGAAAACTAGTGAAGTTAAAAATAATGCTTAAAAATTATCCACAGTTTAGTTGTTTCCAAGCACAAACATTTTTGTTTGGCTGTTTTAGTGGTATCTTGTCATCATCGTTGGTGGATGTTCAAAACAGCAAGGATAGGCACACCAAAATGTTCAAAATGACCAAAATACAGGTTCATCACCCTGTAGAACCCAAGAGGAAATCTCACAATTTAAAACAATTACCCTTAGACCTAAGAAATGAATACAATGTATTATACAATGCATTCTTTGTTCAAATGTATGTTAGTTGAACAACTTAAAGTACAAAGAGAAAGTCGCACATTTCACTCCGTTCAACCATATAATTTAAAATGTGGTATTTGTTGTACAAAACTGCTGCTATATGAGCGACAAATCATCTGCATCAAATAGAAAAGAAGTTCACTATATCGATAATATTTGTATGAAGTCTTACATGGAATTCCTTGATGAAGTTGCTAACGTATGTGATATGATTCAGGTTTTCATTGCTCTCGGTTTTCAAGCTCTGCTCGACCTTCTGACAGGCAATGCCCGTAATTCCGCAAATTAACACCAACAGTCGCAGAAGCATCTGTAAACTGTATATTCTCAGATGGTGGATACAGTTCGCCAAGTGGGGATACAGCTCATCTGAACCGGCCAACTGTTAAATCACCGCTGGCTGGAAAATATTTACACCATTGTTACAACAAAAAATAAGCCAATCAAATTAATATAACTTTACTACTGCCAAATATAAAAATTTAAATATATTAATTTTGTTCAACCATCAGCCATTTAAAACCTATATCACCAATTTGTAAACCAAGATTGAATTTTTAAAGTTTATTAAGAACCTCGAAATATTTACTTATCTTTATATTAATTAAACTTCAATTTAATACGTCTAACTACTAATATAACCATAGATAATACAAGAACAATAGATAATGATTATAGACAAGTGATTTTATTAAAAGATGTCGATAAAAAGACTAATTTAACTGAACAATAAAAAGTATATAAAAAAACTTACTGACAAAAATCTATCAATGCTCCAGTACCTACAGACTGCTATACAGACAAACAAGAACAACCTGAGCAAGTTAACACATAACACTTCACAACCTCTCAGATTGTTATCACGAGGCGGGAAGTTTTGGAGTTATAACTTTCATGTCACCCTTGTTTCTTTAAAGTTTAAACCTTTATTATTTTTAAAGTTTAAACAATGGGAGAGCCGGGAGTTATAAAAAAGCTGGATGAGACCGTTGTGAATAGAATCGCAGCAGGGGAGGTCATCCAAAGGCCGGCAAATGCCCTTAAAGAATTGTTAGAAAACAGGTAAATAATACTGGTTTTTGGACAAATTGTTACCATTTCCAGACAATTTGGCAAAATAGTTCTAGTACTGGCACTTGCTTTGTAGTTCTAGTGTTAATTGTAGTTGTACTACCAATTTTTTATTTTCAATTTTATTTTATTTTTTAGTTTTAGGGCCGGCAAACTACATTGGTAGTTCCTCTCTTCCTTAGCTTTACATTCCTTTTCTTATCTTTCTCGCGTTTTAATTCTACTAATTTTTTTTCTGTTTCTTCAGCTGAGTTACGATATTTTATGGTACAACGGTAACCAACTCTCTCTTTTCTATGTACTATTGCAGACCTCTCCGTACCTCAGGGCCTCATCAATTGCGGATAAAATAAGACAAATAACACCCAAATACAGAGAAACAAGATAAAAACATGATAGTCTGGTTACCATTTACACTACCCAAAAGTATGTAACATTCCTCGGAGTAATTGATGATAGGCCCTCCCATTCACACTAATAAATATCATTCACACTACCCCACAGTACTAGATATTCCTTGGGTTAATTGGGGATAAGCTACCTTCCACGCTAATAAATTATATTCACACTACCCCAGAGTACTAGATATTCCTCAGGGTATTTGGGATAAACCTTTTCATTCATTCTAATAAATTACACAGCATAAATCATTCACACTACCCCAGCCTACTCGATATTCCTTGGGTTAATTGGGGATAAGCTACCTTTCACGCTAATAAATTACATATATACAGCACAAATCATTCATACTTGCCCAGAGTACTCGATATTACTCAGGGTAATTGGGGATATACACTTTCATTCACTCTAATAAATTACATTCGCACTACCTAGAGTACTTGATATTCCTCTGGGCAATTGGGATAACTTCTTCCATTCATGCTAATTAATTACATTTCACAGCACAAATCATTCACACTACTCCAGAGTACTCGATATTCCTCAGAATAATTGGGGATATTCACTTTCATTCACTCTAATAAATTACATTTACACTACCTCAGACTGCTTGATATTCCTTCGGTTAATTGGGGATAAGCTACCTTTCACGCTAATAAATTACATATACACAGCACAAATCATTCATACTTCCCCAGAGTACTCAATATTTCTCCGGGTAATTGGGGCACCTGCCTTCTATTAGTGAAAGTCTAAAACATAAATACGTTGAGGCCGAACACTATATGACCCAAATTTTCATGGGACATGGTGATTTCGGGACGTATTTATGTAAATTCGGTATTCAAAATATGGAAGAGTGCTCCCAGTGCTGTGATGGTTCTGAGGAGACACTGGACCACACGTTCTCAGAGTGCCCAGCTCATTCAGCTGCACGAAGAAGAGAATTGGTTGAGAGAAACGTACTCCATGGAATACGACGTCTGAGCCCTATCCAACGCGAAAAGATTCGCGGCCACCAAATGCTTCGTGTACCAAGTGATGAAAACAAATGGATGGCCAGCATCAACCACCAGTGACTGATAGTGATAGTGGTTTGTGGATGCTAGTGTAAGTGTCAGTGTAGTCAGTGCCAGTGAAGTGTATATTAGAAATATATATTAGATTTAATATTAGAGTGTATACATAAATATATTGTAAATTTATATGTAATTTATTTTATATAGTATAAGTATGTATGAGGGGGCCCACTCTCTTTCTCTCCTGGGTGGGGTTCAGTGCATGGGGGTACCCTTCATTAGGACGTAAGAAAAATTGTAAGATGCGACACTCATGCTGAATCCTGACCAGGACCTGCTGCAGCCGTGGCTAACTCCTGGGGATGTGAGGGTTGGGCCTTCAGGGGTATATGATTGCACAATCATCCTGTGTAAGTCCGTAAACGGACATAGGAACAGGCAGTTCTTATACCTTTGAAGGGAAATTGGGGATATGCCCTTCCATTCACGTTAATTCACACTACGCCAGAGTACTCAATATTCCTCCAGGTAATTGCAGATAAGCTACCTTTCACGCTAATAAATTCCATACACATAACCCTAGAATACTCAATATTCCTTGGGGTAATTTGGGATAACCTTCTTCATTCATGCTAATAAATTACATTCACACTTCCCCAGAGTACTCAATATTCCTCAGTGTAATCGGGGATATACCCTTCCATTCGCAGTGGCAGACAAGTGATGTGCATGTACGTGCCAACATCTACAGCTACAGCTTAAGTGCACCTTTTGATGCACATAGATATTATAAATTAGTTACTCTTGAAATTATACAATGCAATTTACTTTGGGGGTAAACAACTGAATAATGTATTAGAATTTAGATCAGAATCTAGATTTTAACTGTGGTTTAAGTAACTCGAATAGTTGACACTCTAATTTAAAAATTATACAATGTAAAATAAGAGAATCCTTTAGGGAAAAATGTATTTTAAAAGCTCTGAATTCTTTCTTTGGTGGGTTTTATAATTAATTGAATTTTAACAAAGGATATAAATTAAGAAATGACGAGATGCCAAATTAAGTAAGATGGGTAATCAAAGAGGGAGGTGGGCTGTTGTACCTAAATTTTAGTATGTTTAGATGAATCAGTTGAGGCTTTTTTTTTTTTTTTTTTTTTAATTGTTTATTACCATCTGTACAAATACATTATGTAATGTGGTACAATATTTATCATTTGCAAATATCCTGAGGAGAGCCTGCCTATGTTGCTCTCCCAGCTTTCTGAATAATTGCTTACAAACTATAAGGAAGTCCCATGGCGATCTCTATTTCAATCCCCTTATTGGGACACTTTCTATTAAACCAAAAACCTAAAAGTTTACAGGCTTAGTAAATCAATTAAATATCACACAAATAACAGAAGAGAAAATATTAAAGAAATAAAAAAATGATTGGTCATTCTGACAAATTTCAGCAAGGTTGGTTTTAAAAAAGGTTAGAAATACCTAGGTAAATAATTTTAGTACTAGTAAAACTACTGAGTTCAGTATTTGTTCTCAGATAATTTATGTAGTTTCAGGCAGAGAATGCCAAATATACTAATTGTATATATATTCTTTTAGATATTTCAAAGTAAACTTTTCAAGAAAAGTAGCTGGATTAGTCATTTTCTTCAAGATTTAATATTGTCTTGCTTAAAGCAACACACATTAAGATTTGCTGATAGTCATGTTTTTCAAACTGCTGTGCAATATTATTGACTCCAGAATTTCTGTATATCATAAATAAAAATTAAATAAATTGTCTATAGGCTAGAGTTCAAGACAAAATCGCTTTTCCAGTTTAGATGCCAAGGCTACAAATATTCAGGTAACTCTGAAAGAAGGCGGTCTTAAGCTTCTACAGATAATGGACAACGGATCAGGAATCAGAAGTGAGGACTTGGAGATTGTATGCGAACGCTTCACAACAAGTAAACTGAGAGAATTTGAAGACTTGTCTAGCATTGCTACCTTCGGGTTTAGAGGAGAGGCCCTGGCATCTATCAGCCATGTCGCACACTTGACAATCACGACAAAAACAGCATCACAAAAATGTGCTTACAAGTCAGTATTGAAGTTACTTGCTTGGTTTTATTTTGTATCTTGTCTTTTTCGTCAGAGCATCGTATTGCGATGGTAGGTTGAAAGAAAAGCCTAAACTTTGTGCCGGAAACCAAGGGACGCTTATTGTCGTTGAGGATCTTTTCTACAATGTCGCGACTAGGAAAAAATCTCTGAAAAATGCCAGCGAAGAACATGCAAAAGTCGTTGAAGTGGTATGTTTAATTTTATGAATTTATAAAAATTTCTCATTAATTTATCTATTTATTTAAGGTCAGTCGTTATGCAATTCACAATCCTTCAGTGGGATTTAGTCTTAAAAAGCAAGGTGAGCCTACGGCCGACGTTCGAACAAACCCTAATTCTACCCATATTGATAACATACGTACAATCTTTGGCAACAATATAGCAAGGTGATATTTCTAATCATCAAATAACCCTGGTATCGTTCATTATGAAGTTCTTTGCAGAGAGCTTTTAGAAATTACAGAAACTGATGATGTTCTCAAGTTCAAACTACATGGCTACATCACAAATGTCAATTTTTCTACTAAGAAACATACACATTTTATTCTTTTTATAAACAACCGTTTGGTGAATTCCACTGGTAAGAAGAATAATTCTCCATCAAAGTCTTGCAAAATTTATTTATTTTTTATTTTTTTAAAGCTTTAAAAAGAACTCTAGAAGATCTATACACCCTATATTTGCCCAAAGGAAGTCACCCATTTATTTATCTAAGTATAAGCTTAGATCCAAAAAATGTTGATGTCAATGTTCATCCAACAAAGCATGAAGTCCATTTTCTTCATGAAGATGCAGTGATTGAAAGTACTAAACAGGCCATTGAGAAGAAATTGCTTGGATCTAACACATCTCGGGTTTTTTACACACAAGTAAACCATCTTTCATTTTGAAAACTAGCTTTTTTTAAACATTATTTTTAATGCTAGGCCAAACTGCCGGAGGTTGATCTTGATTTAAATTCAGCTGTGTTAGAAGAAACCATATCTAATGTTGAAAATAACCTTAATAAAACTGAAAAGGTGCACGCTAAAAATTTAGTCCGGACAGATTCAACTTCCCAAAAGATTGAGAAGTTTCTTACGAGCCAATCGGAGAGCCAAACACAAGAAGAAAAGTCTGCTGAGCCGAAGAAACCTATAATTTCTAAGTACGATTATTCTATAACTTTGTATATTTCTAGCTTTTTTGTAATAAAGTAAAGTCCACAGGCAAGAAACCAAGTTAACAAGTGTACTGACATTACGAAGGATAATTGAAGACGAGTGCAATTTGGCTCTGAGGGATATTGTAGCAAATTTAACGTTTGTTGGCTGTGTTGACCCAGACAGAGCTCTAATCCAAAGCAGCACTGAACTATATCTGTTTAACACTCGGAGACTTAAGTAAGTACAAAAAAGTTTCAATAAGCTCTTTTCAATTAATTGAGGTTTTGGTTGAGATAAAAAAAGTCACACAAGCAGGATTCGAACCCACAACCTTTGACTAAATATGCCGCTGCTCTACCACTTGAGCTCTCGTAACTTCAATCCACTCAGACACTAACTTCCCTTCTCCCCCACCTTTTGAATTTTCCCTCCTTTTGGCCATTTTTCAAATGTCGTGTAATCTATTTGATTCTCGGCGACAAATGAAATGGCCATGGAGAGCTTTAGTGAAGTATACTTAATTTATCTTATTACATTTTATTAGCTTTCGTGGTCTGCTTGACCAAATAAATTCTAGATTACATGACGTTTGAAAAATGGCAAAAAGGAGGGAAAATTCAAAAGGTGGAGTTGAGATGGGAAGTTAGTGTCCGAGTGGATCGAAGTCACGATAGCTCAAGTGGTAGAGCAGCTGCGTATTTATCCAAAGGTCGTGGGTTCGAATACCGCTCGTGACACTGACTTTTTTTATCTCAACCAAAACCTTAATTAACTGGAAAAAAACTTATTTGGTCAAGCAGACCACGAAACCTAATAAAATGTTTTAATAACTGTTAGGTTGATCAACAGTTTTATTTACAAATCCATTATATTTTACCTTAAAATTTTAATTTCAGAGAAGAGCTGTTTTATCAAATGATGTTATATGATTTTGGAAATATCGGTGCTATCAAATTTCAGGTATTTTATAAAAATGTTTTCTGAATTGGTTTTTATTTTACAGTATTTAATTATTTTAGACCCCTTTGCCTTTGACAGAATTGGCCATGATTGGTCTTGAAGATCCCATATCTTGTTGGAAAGAGGAAGACGGCGACAAGAGTATGATTGCAGATTCTGTAACGAACCTTTTGATAGACAAGAGAGAGATGCTTATAGATTATTTCTCAATTGAAATAGACCGGGACAAAAACCTGTGCACCATCCCTTTGATCCTAGGTAAAAAATTTATTGTAAATGTGCCTGATAACATATTTGTAATTTTGCATCCTTCCAGATGACTACAAACCTGATGTAAGCAGACTGCCACATTTTGTCTTGAGGCTTGCATGCGACGTCGATTGGACATCTGAGCAAAACTGTTTCGACACCATTTGCAGAGAAACAGCAAAATTTTTCAGTTATACAGACTGCTTTGAAAACGTGAGTTAATGCTAGCAAAAATAGCTTCAAACACATTTAACAAGTAACTTTTTTTATTGTATTATTTTGATTAAATTATCCTGGAATCGTTTAAAAGAACCTTACAACACATGAATAGCTTTTATTTTATTAGGATGTAAAATAAGTCTGTCACTTTTGTTTCAGATCTTGTATTATTATAAAGCATTTAGCTAATTTAAAATGGAGGAAAAAATAGTGCATTTTTATTGCATGATGGGTTTTTTATTATCGCAAAGGAAAAACCACTGCTAGGAAAATTTGTGCTGTTTATGATGATGACGTTTTAGGATAAAGAACTGTTCTTAAGCTGGGTTTCCACTGCGCAAAAAAATCACTACCGAAACGCTATCTGGGGTTAACTATTTCTACGAGGCGAAATAAGATTGCTGTTTATAACTACACAAATTGCACCATCAGCATTTGCTAGTATGGCGATACTTCATGTTAAAAAATTAATTAATTAAAATTTTTAAAAAACTAAGAAAATGCTGTTGGTGGGTCAAAGAATTATTTTATCAGCAAACCCCATTACGTTTTCATTTTTGCTTTAAGAGAACTGTCAGTTTGATGCTAATTTCCTTCCATGCATCTTCTCTCTTGTTCTTGTTCTGATGAGCTTTATCTTTAGCATTCCAAAAAAATCAGTAGTTGTGATTCTGAAAAGTCGAATGCACTCCTGGTTTATTCTCATACTAAATACAAGTGCATTTATGGAGCGAAATAACTAACACGAAACAATTTGATGTGCACTAAAAAACTGACAGCCGGTCGACTTACCCCGAAACTTCCTCGCGCCAAAAGTTTCAGTCCCAACTAGGTCTCCACAATGTGAGATATATTTCGCAATACAGTTGCGCGAGTGAGTTTCACACAGTGAAAACCCAGCTTTAAGTAATTTAACTCAGTTCAAAAGCGGAAATTTTGATTTGGAAGCACAAATGTCGCGTCCTTCAATCATTGATGATGACCAAATTCAAACTTTTATACAAATAATCTCACACCAAATGACACTGCAAAGATACTTAGCGTACCTATTTCATACTAGTGTTTCAAGACATTTGAGATCGGCTGGAGCAATATGGGTTCCTCCTAACAGAGAAGACTTTATCGGACTGAATTTCCATCAGCAATTCCTTCCTAGAACGCAATGTAAACAGTCCATTTTTGAAAAATTAATAATTAGAGATGAAAAGTGAGTCCGTTACGACAGTGTTCAGAGATCGTTGGGAACAAGCAGCAACCCTTAATTAACAAATCCAAAAGCCAGATTACATCCCAAGAAGGAAATGTGAATTTTGTGGGATTTGAAGAGGGTGCTTTATTATGCACTTCTTCTGCCCAACCAAACAAATCTGGTGTACACTGCATACGATTGGAGTGATTAAAGTCAGCAATTTGCCAAATTTGACCATAATTGGCTAATCGCAAGGGATTGTTTTCCATCATGACAGCACTTACGCACACATATCTTTGCCTCAAAAATTGTTAGAGGCTCTTTAGACAGTTTATTCCTGGCTCTGTAGAACTCTATTAATGGGGGAAATTTTACTTCATTTGAGGACTGCAGAAAACAGCACATCACTTAAAGACTTGACAAGTTCTGGGAGGACAAAATTACACGGAAAGTGCTGCCCTTAAGTGGCTTGCTCGGTTCAGAAGTGGAATTGTTGATTTGGTAGATGCAAAGTGCTCTGGTTGCCCTACGATTGATGATGGCAAAATTATAGCTTTTGTCATAAATGACCTTCACGCAACATGAAACAACGCAGACAATTTCACATCTTATAAAAGTGTTTCAACACATATAAGAGAAAGCAAATGGATATGTTTGTCAGAAGGATATGTGAGTTCCTCACATGTTGACATTAAAGGACCAAACCTCCATCTGTGATTCTCTCCTAAAACACAATGCAAGTGACTCACCATTAACAACTCCAAAAACTGGATTTTATACCAAGAAGGTAATGTGCATTTGGCGGGATTTGAAGAGGGTACATTATTTATTATGAGCTTGTCCCACCCAACCAAACCATTAATTCTAGTGTACTGCACACATTTGGGGTGATTAAAGTCAATAATTGACCAAAAATGACCAGTATTGGCTACCACTCACCCTCGTCGGGCCAGTAATTGTTGAAGCTTGGCTGGGACGTGCTACCAAACCCCTCTTTATTCTGGGCTCTACAAGTCTCTATTAATGGGAAAAATTTTTCTTCTCTCGAGTAATGCAGAAATGACATTGAGGAGTTCATTGTGTAAAAACCTGGGATGTACCGGGATGATGACATTTTAAAATGGATAATGGCTACAGGTAGTGGAACAAAATGGTTCATATATTGTTTATTAAAATTTCTTTAAACTGCCTGAAATTTTCATTGAATTTACCATCAAAAAATGCTTTTATGACAGACTTATTTTATGACCTGATAATAAATAATTAGAATTATGACATAAAGCGCATATAATCTAATGAAGCAATTAAGCTGTTGGTTGTTTTTTTGTTGGCTGAAATTTGCTTAGTGTGTATGTGCATAAACGAAAATACTTTTTCTCTTTGTGATGAAAGGTTAAACTTAAATAAATAATTCATAAAACAAATTTATTGCAAGAAGATTAAAAATTTAGCATTTCCAGCATACCTTTATTTTTCTATTAAGTAATTTATTTAACATTTATTAGGCATTTAAAGATTATTGTTTATAATTAAGGTTAAAAGTAAATAAATAATAAAAAGGATGATGTTTTAGTTAATGTTTGAAGATTTCTAACAGCATTATAATTTTTTACTACGTGTCGTACATCTGTTGAAATATTATAGGATGACAACGAATGGAGAAAGACAATCGAGCATGTAGTCTATCCAGCAATCAAGAAAACACTTCTACCTCCGAAAAAATTCGCTGAAGACAAGACGATTCTTCAACTGGCGAGCCTGCCTGATTTGTACAAAGTTTTTGAAAGATGTTAACTCCGTATTTTATCTTCAAATTCTTTTTTAAATAAGACGATTATTTTGAAGCTAATTAATACTGCAAATAAAAGTAAAAGAGATTTCAGATAATGAATGCTGAATTCTCAAATTGTTTCGGTTTATTTCTTCAAACTTAAGACACTTAATCACTCTCCGAAGATTGATAAAGAAGCATTCTCTTTGCGCATTTTGATCCAACGAGTTGACCGTACTCTTCGATTTCTCTATCTTTGTTAATTCCAGTTTTGCTCTTGTAATATTCATAGGTCATGCCCATGCCGCAGAAGATCAATACCTGTTGAATTAATTGTACATTTTAATAATGTGTTATTTGTCAATGAATTGTCAAGACACTTGCATCGTGAATTGATTTAAAACAGTTTTTATCTTCTTCTTCGGTCCCTCCCAACCTTGAATATTTATTCATGTCGAGCTTTTTTTTAGCTTCGTCCACTGGGTGCCATGTATAACTTTCAGGGCAGAGCAGAAAAGACGGAGAAAGGCGAGCTTTGTAACACATTTTTGGGCAATTATGAATATAGAAACCCATATAATAGTATTTCATCTGCGGAAAAGTTTTATTAAGGCTTCTCACATAAGCAATTTCTCTAAAAACAGGCAAATTTTAGATTATGATAAAGGAAAACATTCAATAAATGTTAGAGAAAAATCAACCTTAAAGAGCTGTACGTCCCTAGCGAAAGAAATGAATAATCGGGGTCATAGAAAAAATAAACTGATGAAATACATGTCGGCAATACATCTATTACGCCTACTGCAATTATTTTTCCATTGAGACAATACTGTTGATGAAAAGAGCCATATCCACACGGGAGGCCTTTTACACTCATCTCCCTCTGAAAAATATATTTTTTTCTTTCAAAATGAACTACGTGCACTGCGTACCAGTACTTTTAAAGGGCTGGTGACTAAAAATCTTCTGAACTGTTTCTTATTGCACTGGCTCGGTGTATCTTTGTGAATGGTTGTTTGATATTTTTGATATACTGCGAAACTCTCCTCGAACGTATCTTCAAACTGTTTACTTTCGGGTTCTAAACAGACTAGCCTCAGCTAAAATTATCCATGTTAAAATTGTTTTTGTATTAACTTTTTTTTTTTAATACCACATTTTACCTCCAACTGTAATGTAGGATTTTCATATATAATAAAATCTTCAAGGGATTTTTCCTGATTGCCTTTTGTTTTTACGTTTACATTTGATGCAGCGCTTTGTTTCTGTTTCTTCTTCTCTAGTCGTATCAATTTTGCCTTCTTGCATTTAGGTTTGCCCGCTTCTTTACCATCTTCTGAAATTAAATCAATATATTCCATTCACAATTTTCAATTAATTAAAAATAGCTTTTTACCTATTTTTTCTAACTATAACATAACTGAAAATAATTATGTATTACCTAGGTTTAAACTCTGTGTTCTCTTTGTATTTACATCAGCAGGCTCAGTTTCTTAGTAAATAAAAAAAGCAAATTAATCGACATTTCTGACATATAAAATACCTTTTTGTTCATTTGAACTCTTATCATTATCCAACTTATTAGTGCAAATACTTCCTTCTCCTGGAATAACTAGAATTAATCAAAAATAAGTTTAGAAAAGCTTTAATGAGGAACTTTACCTGACAAAATTTCGACCTTTTCGATGTCCTCCAGATTTAGTTGAATGTTTTCGGAACTGATGTCCGTCATAACAAACCCTAGAGAAATTTCTGAAGTCATTAAAGAAAAACTTTCTTTTAAAATATAATTTGCACCTTGATCATTTGGAACTGGGGTTTCGTCTTCTAAACTGTCGTTCGGACACTCGTTACGTTTTCCGTCCATGAGATATTTTGAAACTCTTTTTAGCAATTTCTTCTGAGATTTAGAAGGTTTGAATTCAGTCGCGTCGCACCTTTGAGAAATCATTCATTCATTCTAATTTGCATATACAAATGAAATTCAACTGTGAAAATAATTCTTAAATCAGACTAGAATACAGCCAACATAGTTTTACAGGGGCTTTTTCTACTTAAAAAAAAAAAAAAAAAAAAAAAAAAAAAAAAAAAACAGCTTAACACACTAGCTTATTAACATTCTGGAACACCAGCAGATTCATGAAAATTACCTTTGGAACCATACTTAATTTTACAATAAAATAATATAAAAATAAAAAGCCACATATTTATAAAATCTCACACGGTATTAATTAGTGTTTTGCCATTACTAGTAAGTCCTCAATAAAAATATAAGCACTTTAATGGTGTTACGTATAAGGTGCAAGGATAGACAAACCAGTCGGTAATGATCAAATTGCATAAAGTTAAGAACTGGAGGATAAAGCAAATGGTAGAAGAAAAGAAAAAATAATAAAAATGAAGGTTTAGATCAGGCTGATGGAAAAAATATACATGCACTATAAATTACAGAGGGAATAATGAAAAGAATTTAGGTCAAGCATTGTGAATATGAGTGAAATTATACATATTTTTCACACAAGCGCTAATTTGCTGGGATGGACAGAGGTAAGAAATATAAAAAAGGCAATTGTTAAAAGCAGGAAGTAGGAAGATGCCTTTGCCAAGGACAACTTAGTTCCGAATAAAGAGCATGCAAAATTAAATAAATTAGGTATAATATGTGTCACAAATTGTAAGTATATAAGGGTAAATGCTAGAAAAATCACTTGATAGTGTAGAGTGGACAACAAGTTGCCTTCATGTTTGGCTTGTAGCAGTACTTCCCACTCCTTCTCCAGCCCCTGTCGATGAGATCCTGGTAGTCCTGTGCTGTGATGACATGGGCCCACATGCCTAGAATGAGGACAGTTTAAACATTGAAATGTACGCGTAACGAAATGGACAATACTGTAATTCTGGCTGGTGTCAGTGGACTTGCAGTATCCGCAGGAGCCATGCCTGGATGAAAAGTAATCAACTATCGAAGGCATTCTGGATCGCCAACTTATCTGCAAAAGGTTTTTTTTAATATTTTATTTTTATTTTTTATAAATATATATTGGTTTCAACAATATACCCGATTGACAGTTTCTGACTAGACAACAACAACAAACATAACATGGCAATATTTTAAATTATTTATTTTTGTTTATGTAAAAATGCTTTATAATAAAATGTTGAGGTTTTAAAATACAGTAAAATTTACGCTACCTTTAGCTAACAATTATAGATTTTCTGTTTGATTATAATTGTGTTTTTAAATACGTTGGAGTAGATATTTGTAAATAATACATTTCAGCTTGAAAAGAAAAGATTGTTAATCAGTTCGGATTGATTGGTGTTGAGTTAACAAATAACACGTCATTGGTACACCACTGCTGGAAGGTTAAGGTACGCCTTGGCCCGTAGCCGTACCTGAACTTGGCACGTCTCCTTGGAAGGATCAGGTAGAGCTATGCCTTGGACTTGAGAATTGAGATGTCTAAACTTTCCGGGCAGTTTCGCAACACGGCATGGGACCCGTTGCTGATAATCGGGCAGATAATCGCCGTCCAGAGCGTTTTCTACTTCACACTGGGCGTATGGCTTGTTGCTTTGGATATACTATCAGGATCTCCTCGCTCCTTGGCTCATATATTTAAATATCAGGTAATTTGGGTCAGATTGTACATGATCATCCTTCTGTGGTCACTATTTACGATGGGAATTAATATGTCTCTTATGGTGACATTTCTGTTTCGTTTTGCTTTCTACCTCTGCCTCGTGAACTATTATTCTGCGGAGCGATGAACCTGTAGTTTGGACGTTCCCAATTGATTTGGGATGCCTGTCTTCGCTGGCACATTTTGTACTTTATGCTGAGCCTATCGCTAGTCATATTAACGTATTGTATCAATGCCAATGTATGCAATCAATACCATGTTTGTATGTTGAAAGTGTACAGTTCAAATTGATTAACATTTTTTTACCTTGTAGACTATTATTCTCTTTTAGATTTCTTTTTGGGGTTCTGTACAATGACATGTAACTTCGTCATTTCCAATTGATTCGGGATGCCTGTCCTCGCTGGCACATTTTGAACTTTATGCTGAGCGTATGGCTAGTCAAGATCTGGTTACAATTTAACATATTGTATCATTACCAATGTATGCAACCAATACCATGTTTGTATGTTGAAAGTTTACAGTTGGAATTGATTTATCATTTTATTACTATCTTTTTACCTTGCAGACTATTATTCCTTTTGGGGTTCTGTACAATGACCTGTAATTTGGTCATTTCCAATTGATTCGGGATGCCCGTCCTCGCTGGCATATTTTGTACATATGCTGAGCATATGGCTAGTCAGGATCTGGTTCCAATTTAGCATATTGAGTCAATACCATGTTTGTACGTTAAAAGTGTACAGTTCAAATTGATTAACATTTTTTTACCTGGTAGACTATTATTCTCTTTAGATTTCCTTTTGGGGTTCTGTACAATGACCTGTAACTTGGTCGTTTCCAATTGATTCAGGATGCCTGTCCTCGCTGGCACATTTTGTACTTTACGCTGAGTGTACGACTAGTCAGGATATGGTTCCAATTTAACATATTGTATCAATGCCAATGTATGCAATCAATACCTTGTTTGTATGTTGAAACTGTACAGTTCAAATTGATTAACATTTTTTTTACCTTGTAGACTACTATTCTCTTTTAGATTTCTTTTTGGGGTTCTGTACAATGATCTGTAATTTGGTCATTTCCAATTGATTCAGGAGCCTGTCCTCGCTGGCACATTTTGTACTTTACGCTGAACGTATGGCTTGTCAGGATATGGTTACAATTTAACATATTGTATCATTACCAATGTATGCAACCAATACCATGTTTGTATGTTGAAAGTTTACAGCTCAAATTGATTAACATTTTTTACCTTGTAGACTATTATTCTCTTTTAGACTTCTTTTTAGGGTTCTGTACAATGACCTGTAAGTTGGTCATTTCCAATTGATTCGGGATGCCTGTCCTCGCTGGCACATTTTGTACTTTACGCTGAACGTATGGCTAGTCAGGATATGGTTCCAATTTAACATATTGTATCAATGCCAATGTATGCAATCAATACCATGTTTGTATGTTGAAAGTGTACAGCTCAAATGGATTAACATTTTTACCTTGTAGGTTATTCTCTTTTAGACTTCTTTTTTGGGTTCTGTACAATGATCTGTAACTTGGTCATTTCCAATTGATTCGGGATGCCTGTCCTCGCTGGCATATTTTGTACCTATGCTGAGCATATGGCTAGTCAGTATCTGGTTCGATGTTGGGTATTTGTTTTCAGTTGATTACATCCAGTTAAACGTTGTTTCAAATTTTGTAGGATTGTGAGTTGTGCCCTTGGAATAAATGGCTTTCAATAATATGAACTGCAAGTGATTGTTGAATCTTTTTATTTATCACGGTTTTTTAAAGGCAAATTATTTTTTCCATAAAAATATGTAAATAAATGTGTGATGATTAGTGACCGTTAATCGATAATTATTCAAAAATCGTGAGATGCGGTCTGCTGTGATGTAAGTTTTAGAAAAACATTTTCTTTATCATGCCAATGTTTCAATCTTTATTGAGATCATCTTCAGGGCTCATAATGTTCGTTTTCCATTTAAACACCACACATCCTTGTATGTTGACGATTTCCAATTGGAAGTGAAGTGTAGTTAGTTAACATGTTCTTAGTACCTCTTTGCCTTGTGAACTATTTTCTCAGTTGGATTTCCTCTTGGGGTCTGTGGACCAAACCTGTAGTTTGGTCGTTCGCAATTGTTTTGGCCTTCCTATCCTCGCTGGCACATTTTCTACTTTACACTGGGCATTTGGCGTAGTCATGATCGGGTTCCCATTGAACATATTGTGGTGCAATCAATATCATCTTTGTATGTTGGCAGTTTGCAATTAGAATTGATCTGACATGTTTTTTTAACATTTTATTACTACCTTTTTGTCTTGTAGACTATAATAATAGTCTCTTATATAATAGTATCTTATATAATAAGAAATCTCTTATAAGATTTCCTCTTGGGGGTTCTGTACAATACCTGGAACTCTGTCATTTCCAATCATTTTGGTCTGCCTACCCTTGCCGGTATAGTTGAATCAATCAAACTTCCTCAACTGGAAGAAATCTTATTTTCAAACATAGTGAATTTCCAAGTTGATCGTGGAACGAAATCTATTATGTGTCCATTCTAATAATGGAAGAAAACTTTTCTTTTTTTAAATTATATTCTAAGTATTCATGTCAATAAAATTTCTGTAAATCATAATTTTCTCATTATAATTTTTTACCGACTTTACATGATTAACAATTTATTATTTTTCTTTATTTCCAGGAACTTCATAAAAATACCTTTGTGGTCGTTGGTTCTTACCTTCTAAATTCATTTACAGGGTTAGTAAATTTATTTAATATTTTAAAATATAACCAAAAACAAGCTTATACACCGTAATTTCCTTAGAGCCGTGAATCTGTGGTGTATTGTCCAGAGGACGAAGCTGTGCCTGGATTTTGCAGCGACTGCTCACTTAATCCACATGATCCTTTGCTGGATATACAACGGGTTGGTTTGTAAAATATATTCGACAATCGTTTTATAAAATATTTCCATTCTTCTTTTTGTTAAGGTATTTTCCGACAAGTCTCCCCTGGTGGTTATTGAATATAACTGATGCATCGATCATGTGCGCTTTTGGCGAATATCTATGCAGAGGAACGGAATTGAAGGCGATTCCATTATCCACTGCTCCAAAGGTTGGTTTATGATATTTGGTAGAATATTTTTCTAAGATATTCCAGTAAGATGCCAAACTAATTGAACCAAAAAACTCGACTTGTGATTTGTTCCTTCACAATTGCCTTCAAAGTGATCTATTTGTAATTCTATTATATTTTTATTACTGTTCTAGCTATCATCATATTTTACTAATATTCGTTATGATAGCCAATATTAATGTATAAAATTTAAGATTTATTTATTTTTCAAATTAATTGTTATATTAAATTTCCTTTTTTTTTCTTTTGACTTTCACTTTTTTTACCACCCACTCAATTTCCCCAAAAAATGTTTTATAGTGTTTTTAAAAATCATTTATAGAAAATTATTTAAAGGACAGAAATTGACAGTTAATCTAGAAATAAGTCGCAGAGATATTTATTGAAAGTGTTCTTTATTTAATTCAAATATAAAATTTAAAAAAAAAAATGATTCAAGAAAAAGTAAGACCTTGTCTGGAAGCTGACAAGAAAAAATCATATAAAGTCCTTGTGCTGATTGATGCTTATTTAATATTGAAAAATTGCAGCTTAAGTTGCATTTTTGGAGGATATTGTTTTTTAATAAGTCTTTTGTTGAGTTTTTCTCATGGCAGTAGTGATGAAGAACGTAGTCAGACTATTGCACGACAAGGTGTTGTTTTACTCCCTCCTTTAGGTTTAGTTTTGGTTTTCCAGCCTTTTTACAACCTTCCGCACTACTACCAATAATACCAATAGTCTATGATGCAGTCATCATTGTTGTCAAGTTCTTTGTTAAGGGACCGCGGTAGCCAAATGGTCAGTGTGATTGATGGACTCTCACCTCTTAGACCCCATAGTTGTGGGCTTTATTCTTCACCCCTATGATGAAATAATCAATGGAATCGTATTCTGGCTAATATGCAAGCTCATAATAAAATAAGTTCTATGTTAAGCTTAAAGCGGGGAACCCACTTACATGATGTGACCCGAAGCCACCCGATGCAAATCCAATGTCCAATTTTCCATAAAATTGTTTTACCCCCATGCACATCTGCCCAGTGCCTCGCAGCGCTACCCTACTCTTCGCTAAACGATGCAACCAAGTCCCCTACTGTCCAGATTTTCATCGTGTTCAGTCAACGTCTGTATTAACTGGACACTCATATTTTTATTTCAAACTATATGTATTATTTTGTTATATTAATTACAACATACTTATTTAAAATAAACCAAATTAAGCAAGATCAAAAATTCATGAGTTTTTATTTAAAAAAATTAATTTTAATGGTTTGGCAGAAAATTTATCCAAACACCGGAATACCTTTTATTGATAGAATGAATTTAACTAACAATTCATTACATGGTTTTGCTCATAAAATTTAACTAATAATTTATTTCTTGGTTTTGTTCATAAAATTTAACTAACAATTTATTTCATTGGTTTGCTCATAAAATTTAACCAACAATTTAATAAATGGTTTTGTTCATAAAATTTAACCAACAATTTATTACATGGTTTTGCTCATCAAATTTAACCAACAATTTATTACATGGTTTTGTTCATAAAATTTAACCAAGAATTTATTACCTGGTTTTGTTCATAAAATTTAACTAACAATTTATTACATGGTTTTGCTCATAAAATTACACCAGTTTTGTCAAGTAGCATCAGAACCGGACACCCATATTTTTGAAATTTATTTCAAACTATGTATATGTAATTTTGTCCTTATATTAATTACAACACGCTTATTTTTATGTAAACCAAATTAAACGAGATCCAAAATTCATGAGTTTTTATAAAAATTATTTAATTATAATAGACAAAAATTTTATCAAAACACCAGAATAACTGTATTTAACAATTAAGTTTAACTAACAATTTATTACAGGGTTTTGCTCAAAATAATGCATTAAGAACAAAAGAGATGTTGAGATTGTAATACTGATTTGTATGTGATACATGCTGTGTGACTACGTGGCATGCGCTTGGCATCGAACAGATGTGCACACCCTACCAAAATGAGACAAGGAGTCGGGTCACATTGCGTTACATTGCGTCGAGTAAATGTGTTCCCGCTTAATGCTTTTTACCAGATCCCTAAGATTAGTTAAAGATTCATGTGTTTATCTTAGGTCTTAGCTTTTCCTCTCTAGCGAGTAAAAAACTGCCTGGCAGTCCTTTGCACCAACAGAGGACATGTTCCACTGTTTCTTCTTTCTGGCAAAATAACTACACAGGCTTGTTCCTAATGCTCCACATGTAGACAAACCTCTCTATACTTTGCAGCATAGTCAGCTCTCCTACTATCATTCTAATCCAGACATTCTAAGTTAAGCAGATTTGGCATGCCTGTCTTAGTATACGTACATTGCCTAGTAAATACAGTTTTGGTAATTTGGTTTGCTGCGAAAGGATTTAGAGCCAATAGGTGTCCTGACTGAACATTCCTGGGCCAATTTATCATTGCCCCTGATGCCCAAATAAGGGCATTTTGTTGTTTCCCCCAATATTGCTCTGGACTTTACTACCAACGAGGTGCTTGCTTTAAGTGATACCTGACTGTCCGTTTAGATACTAATGCCATTGGCCTCCACTGTTAGCAGTCGAATGAGCCAGATCTGTATGTGGCCAAGACAGGTGTTTGGTTTATTGGATTTTTTTCTTTATTATCATAAACAATTTACGAAATAGTTGGGTTAACCAAGACCCTTTAACCCCCATTTATATCCCTACCTCCTTTGATCTTGTTTTATTGTTATTAAGATAATTTAACGATGGTCATTGTGCTTGTTATAGTTTGCATAAACTGTTGTCATTCTGGATGGAATGGAACTAAGTAAAAATATTGAATATATAGTTACCTATTACAAGAAAATGATACCTTGTCAGGTGAGCAACTTTTAAATTTTATTTCTAATGATTATTCAGAAATCGTGAGATGCAGTCAGGTGTGATGTAGGTTTCAGAAAAACATTTTCTTTATCGTGCCAACGTTTCGATCTTTATTGAGATCATCTTCTTCAGGGCCTAGGATTTACAAATATTGTTGAAATTTAACAAAACCATGTAGGACGTGGAAAAAAGTGAATTTATATTTTAAAAAAATATTTATTTGCATTGTATATCGAAATATCGAAACGTTGGTACGATAAAGAAAATGTTTTTCTGAAACTTACATCACACCAGACCGCATCTCACGATTTCCGAAAATCATCAACAAACGGTTACTAATCACCACACATTTATCTCTAATAGAAACTTCGCAATTCACACTTCTGAGAAAATCCTTCCTATTTTTCTCCCGTTTTGCTCAAAACGTTTTGTCCATTATCTTGACCATTTGGTGACATGTTGAATAGAATTTTGGGGAAACATTCTGATAATATACCCAATTTGTATTACAAAGCACAAGTTTGCCAAAAAAAACTTGACTAGCGCTTACCAAAAGGACGAATGAAGTAATCAACAACCGAATGGAGTTTGTCTTTCAGTCTACATGGTGATTAGCCTGTAGTTCGGTCATTTTAAATCATCCTGTTAGCTCATAGCTGTATGCCCACCACTGAATATAGCAATGATGATCTGAGAACTGCAACGATAAACAGCTAAATTGACTGGAAATGACCTAGCCTAGTGAAATATGAAATACAGTTTACATACATTGTCAGGCATCAGCTTGGTCATTTCAGCCCCGAGCGCATGCAAAATTTTAACAAGGTGAGTTGTTCATCATGCACACTCGATATTCAAATCAATAATCATTTCACCTTTATTTATCAAACAAATCAAGGAATCGCATTGGATGAAATAAGCAAAAATGTTTAATCAGTTTATTAATATTTAATTAATTCCAAACTGGTCAGGTTTATCTGAACACTGTCTTTAGAAAATTAAACAATGACTGTTGGCCGCTAATGGAAAAATATAATAACTATTTTTAGGAACATACTTTGCAAAAACAGTTTAAAAAAATAGTGATTATACAAGCCAAATATAACAATTTTATAACGATTATTTAATAGTCCAACTGCTAATCATACCACTTTAATTTAACTTCAATAACAAATTATTAATAGACTACAAATTACCTGATGACTGGTATGCTAAATTAAACTAGATATTTTAATCCAAAGCAGTTTCAAAAGGCATATTTGGTTTATATGACTATATATACTTAGTTTTAATATTTGTTTGCTAAAATTTAATAAAGAAAAATATATTAACTGACCTCTTTAAAACTGAGTTACTATTAGTTTTACTACTACCTACATGTGTTTATGTGTCTAAACACACAATTTGTTTAGCATTAAAACCATATTATTATTATTTTAATTGCATACCAATAACCAGTTGATCAACAAAGAAACAGATAAAAATAAAACAAAACGAAAGTATCTAATAAAATAAACATCACAGGAATTGCCTACTTAAAATTACAATGCAAAAATTAAACGTTTTTTTACGGCAACAATTCTGGTTTGTGAAATTTTTTCTATGATGTTTATCACACAAGTTTTTCCTATAATTAAAAATTATTATCTCAAATAAATATGAAAGTCAAGATTAAATTATAACAGGAGGAAACTCTTTCTTTTTTAAACAAAGTTTTTTTTTTACAGTTTAGATATTTTTTGTCCTTTTTAACTTTTTATGTATTTACAACCTCTAAAGAAAATGTTTTTACAACTTAGTGGACCCTATTGTTAAATGAATATTTGATCATGCCTGAAAGAGACAACCCTTAAACTTAATTATTTACAAAACACCTTCTTTTTTATTTAACTAATTTAGACTTTAATTAATGTTTAAATAAGAAAAAATTAATAAGGCTTAACACAAATTTGTCATGTGTAAGGCACTTAATGTGTAATGTATTGTGAAATTTAAACAAGTGAAAATCCTTGAGTTTGTTGAATGGCTTGCAACAGTTTGTATTTAAGCTTTTCTTTTGTTTTATATCTTGGCAAGTCCAGAAGGTTGAAGCAAGTATGAGCCACAGGCAGGAATTTGTCGTCGGAAGTCGGCTGAATTTTAATCTAAAATAATTACATTTTTTTATATTTTTTTACGTGACAAATTTCAATTTTACTTCACCTTAATCGCTTTCATGCCGAGGATTGGTATTCTGTCGGTACCAGTTAGAAACATAAGAAATTTCTTTTTCTCCGATAGAGGCATAGCATGAAATACGTCCCAGAACATTCTTATTGTCGGGTCACTGTTTGAATAACCGTTTTTATATTCTGTCGTGTTCTCCAATACGTGCCAATCGTAATCTTCATTTCCTGAAAATTTCAAGGGGAAAAAATAATTTTCTATTTGGTAAGGAAAAGTTCAATATTTACCTATCACAACAGCCATCAGTTCTTGAGCGTGAAACAACTGAAGGACTCTTCCTCCGCACACTTTATGAAAAGCATCGTGAAACGCTCTGAAGTGCCTCTCGACGCTTTTATTTAAAATGTAATCAATGTAAAGCTCAACATATTCCTTTCTAAAAAGATAAATATTAAAATTACTTATGTAAAGATGTGGAAATTATCAAGACCTACTTATTTTCTTGAGTGACGGATATGTTTCCACCATTCGGTTTCAGAACAGATGACTTCAGCTGGCCAAATACATCCCTTGTTATTTCAAATTTTAAACAGAAAACTTCTTCTATATCAGTGCCTTCGTATTCAAGAAGACTTTTCAGACCTCTAAAAAAAAATTTTTTAATTATGTTTTATTTTGTAGAAAGAAGAACATACTTTGCCAATGAAGGAGAATATTCTTTTAAGTCCTCAATTCCCACTGGTTCGTGCAGTAACTTCTTATAAAGAGCAAGAGGAAATGGCATGTAGATTATAGTGAAGTTGTATATTGCAAGTCCGCAAATTAAACCTGTTAATAAAGTAATAATTTTTTAATTGATTATCATAAAGATAATTTTAAAACACATTATTTATTTTTTATTTTCCATAATGGTATAAATATATAAATATTAATAGTTGACTTAAAACAAGGGGCGTCACACAGTGGGACGAAAGGCCCAAACTCTCTGACATGGACCAAAAATTAATTTTTTCTATTCCAAACCCCTACCTATTTGCACCCTCTTACATTTTCCCCCCTTTCTTTGGTATAAGAAAATGCAGCAATTTTGCTGGATACAAAGTAGCATCACTGTGTATATAAAAAAAGTATTAGAAATCGACAAGTGAGAGTTAAACATGCGCGAAATTATATTTATTTCAACTTTTTCTTGGTTTTCTAATGATGTTACCTGTTTTTTTCATACTAATGAGGTATATTGAAACTGAATAAAAAACTTAGGTCTAATAAAATACAGGGTGTATTAGATTGACATTTGATATTTAGTAACTTTGAGCATGTTTGGGTGCATTTAAAAAAAAGCTCCAAATTGCTCCAAAAAACTGACATCACAGTCTTCTAACTTAAGTATTTAATGAAAGAAATACGAAGGAATTATATCCCCGTTCATCCCATTTTGCCCACAAAACATATTGGAACAAGTGGCTTCTGCGGTCAATATAAATAATATTAATACCAACCATTGTTTCTTTACAGTTTTTATATTGTGGGATTAAGTAACAGCATTATTGTCATTCTTGGTACTAACGTTTTGTGACAATGTTTGAGACTAACGGTGATTTGTTTAATTTTTTACAAAATCCTACGGATCCAAAAAATTATCTAATTCTTAAGGAAGAAATGTTTAGGAATATTTCAAATGTGATGGTTTCTCCAAATAATATTATTTTATTAGAAGAAAAACTAAAAGTTAAACATTGAAGATCATTTGCTCAAAAATGAAGATGACACTTTTATGGATTGTGCTGAAGTACCTGAATCGCTATCGCTAGGAGAGACCAGTACTGATAATATGATGGAGTTAAATTAATTCAACACCATTGTAATTTTCTTTTCTATATTCTTTGGTTTATTTTGTATATTCTTTGGTTTATTTTGTATATTCTTTGTTTATTTTGGTTTTTTTATTCAATCGATTTATTACCATTCAATTTTTTGTAAATAAAATTTTAAATCATTGTTCTTATTTGCCTAGTTGTTTTCGCACCACTCCAATCACCAAAATGACTTCACTAATCGATTCTACAATAAAAAACAAAGAGAAAACGTTCCACTATGAAATATTTATGGAGGAATGTCAGGGTAAAAATGCCATGTCAGGAAAATCGCACTATTCGTCCCACTGTGCGTCGGTGGTCATAACGGGCGTTTACACAGCGTTCATCACTGTAAGGTAAATAATCCAGCTGTCCTGCATTTGAACCCGTCATAATAATAAGTGGGAAGTTTATGGGCCAACAAACAGCTGAAGTCATCGCCGGCCCTCTACGTGTTTTCCATCTTTTTCTTTTCTTTCGCGCATATTTTGTTTTAAACTGCAGCCATTTGAGCATCTCGATCTGGTTACTGACTCTCTGATTTCAGATATATACTACGTTCATATTCTAGAATGCTAGTCTCTCGTTTGTACCTCAGGTTGTCAAATACAGAGTAAAAACAAAACATGCAATACATATCTGAACCCGTCATAAAACGGGCTTTTTTTATTTTCACGAGCCAGAGGGTTGATATGTCCTCTGCTGTTGCGAACCCTTGTATAAAGAAAAAAAATTAATAACTTGTTATAATGGTATCACTAATCCTTTTACACGCTTAAGATTAATAATAAAGAAATTCAGTTTAATTTCATCCTTGACAGAGCCAACTTGCTGAGTGAGTTGGCTTTTTAAATTGTTTTCTTTGATGAAACAGTAAATTTTAGTAAAAAAATTAATAATTATTTTTTTTCTTAAAAGCATGGTTTTTAGTTGAGAAGATCTTGCACAGTCAGATGCTTTGGCCAACAAATGCAGCATCAGTTAGATTAGCTCGTCCTGCGTGTGCCACGCTCGCTCAACCTTCCATGATGGTCTGCATCAGTTTAACGTCACTGGAACGAAGAGAAGGTAGCGGTCGACCATGATGTACGACGGCTTGAGATGATCATTTTATTACTTTTACTGCACTACAGTGTTACGCCCTGACTATCCTCCCCCCCCCAAAAAAATAGAAAAGAAATCATTTTCAACATTAGGGGTTGGAAACTTTTTTTTTTTTTTTTTTTGTAAGAGGTACCTCTAACTGAGAACTGAGATGATGGAGGCCGGGCGAACACGGCGGCGGACTGGTGGGGGCGGATGGGAGTAGGCAGGCAGAAGCAGGCAAGGCGAGCGAGTGGTGAGAGACGAGACGAAAAACAGAAAAAAAGGAGGAAAACCAGAGGAACGAGGGACATCCTTTTCTTTTTCCAGTGTGGGAAATGGCCGTTCTCCTCTGGGAACAGGATACGCATCCGGGCAGGAGCTAGGAGGACAGACGTTGAGACGAGGCGCTCCGGCAAAGTCCAACGTGTGGAGACAGTTTTGTGTGTGTGTGTGTGTGTGTGTGTGTGTGTTTTAAAGCAATAGAAAGTTTTTTTTGAGAGGATACTCCAATTATTGTAAATTTAATTTCGTTTGCGAGGCCTTCACGTAATAATTCTATTGTAAATTAAATCGTAATTCATAGAATTTTGTTTCGTCTAAATTCAGATTGTTTCATTTTTTTATTACTTATTTATTTTCATTCTGGTTGTTTTGTTTCAATTTTTTTTTTTTTTTTTCCGGTTCCTGGTGAATGTCGGTCTACTGATTTTAATGATTGAATAAGATGAACAGTCGGATACTAACAAGGCAGCTCATAGCGCAGGGGAATCGCATTTCGCTTTAAGGCTAGAAGGTCCGCGGTTCGAGTGCGTTTGAGGTCATTTTCAGTGTGTGGAATTTTTTTTGGGGGGGCCAGAAGTCCCAAAATTGGGGAGGTAAACAGTCAGGACGTAACAGCAGAACTGTCAATTAATAGCTTCCTTGATATGTGGTCAACTCTAAATGGGCTATAATGTAAGGGTGAGCTCTAAAACTGTCATCAGAAGACTTCGTGACAAAAGTGTAGTCTATAGACATCCTGCATCTGGTCCTCTACTGCTGGATAGGCACCGACTAGAATGTAACTAATCGCAAATCAGCATCATACTCTGATACTGGAAAACAGAGGAAGCTGTTCTCACAGATGAGTGCCGGTTTGGTTTGTGGTAATTAGAGACCAGGACCAGGTGTGGTGAGAACACGTGGAAAATGCTTTGTTTCATGTGCCATGTTTGTCACAGTCTTTTCAAAGAATTATGGTGTGTGGTGGAATCAACATCAGTGCAGGCATGGATCTTTGACTACTCTAAGGTACATTGAGGAAGTTCTTCGGGAAACTGTGGTCCCATTCACTCCATTTATTGCGGACAACTTCGTGTTAATGTATCACAAGGCTCGACCACATGTAGTTTGAGATGTCACCCTTTACTTGGAGGATGAAAGGATCACCAATGTATCGACCAGCATGTTCTCCTGACAAGAATCCATAACACTTATGGAATATGATAAAGAGATAGGCTAGACATTGTTCTCCAACAAGTTCAACAGCTTCAAACCGCTTTTGTTGAAAAATGGGATTCTGTTTCACAATATGAAATCCAATTGCTTATTTACTTGATGCTTAGAAACTTAAGTCCCTCTGCGAGGCCAGAGGTGTTAATAAGCCCTATAAGAGCAAAGCTAGGTAATAAGTTTTAGTTAAAATTTTAACCTAATAACAATTAAAGCTAAATGATTTTCTGGTGTTTTGGTGAATATTCTTTCAAACCATCATAATTAAATAGTTCTCATACGAGGGGACTGCGGTAGCTGAGTGGTCAGCATGATAGACTCACGGCTCTAGACCCCACGGTCTTGGGTTTGACTCCTACCATCACCCCTGGCCCTTTTTTTTGCATCGCATATGAGATATAAGGTTCTTGGCTAATATACAAAGTTCATAAAGGCATTAAATAAACAATAATAATATATGTAGTTTGAAATAAACAATCAAATATAAGTGTCCAGTTTTTGTTATTGAATATATAAATCAATTATGCAAATGCTTTAATGATTAAAGTGCATAAATGATTTGAAGTGATTTAATGATTAACGAAAACTATTACTTTTATAATACACCAGCAACAAAAAAGACCTAGTTCTCAAGTCTTTACATTATAAATATTCATAATTAATCGAAAATAGCCTACTTACCCACTAAGTAATACATAATTTCATCTTCAAAAGTGTCTTCGCTAAACCAGATTGCATTAGTCTCCGGATCACTTACAAACATACCGTACTTTGGATCCAGTACCTCTCTTAGTAGCAATAGAAAAAATTCTTTTTTAACGCCTCCGGCATCTTCAGCGTCTTCTCCTATGAATGTAACCTTTGAAAAAAAATAATCCATTGGTTATTTTCTTTAGAAAAAAAATCATATTTAATTCGTTTACTTTTAAAGGTTTCTTAAAATCTTTTTCTGAATAGTTTCCCAGTTCTCTAATTGTATCCTGGATTAAATTTTCTCTGGATACGGACAGTTCTAACAAAGGCTGCACTTGGACAGGAGAAGGCGAAAGTAACAACATAGCTACAGCTCTATGCGTCGCTTCTGTTACTGCCATATGCATCTATGTTCAAATCAAATTATATTGCCATTCAATTAAAACTAAAAAAATATAAATAAGAAGAATCTGTACCTGCATTGACTGATCTGTTTGGAGAAGAAGCATTTTTGCAGGAGCATCGAAAAGAAACGGGTAATGACAGAAAAATCGTTTTCCACTCTGAAATTAATTGTATTAATTGTGTTTATTTTATTTTAATTTTTTATATTTACCTTTTCCATAGCCCACATTAAATAATCGACTCTAATATCAACCGAGTCTGTTAATTCAGACAAATGAAATGCTTGGTAATTGACTTTTGGCCCGCCGTTCGTCTTTTCGTTCACCCTCGAAAGACGGTCGAGAATATCCAAAGATTGCACCATTGCAGGGTCATATTGCAGTAAATCAAACTAAACATTTTTTTGTTATATTTTGTTTCGTTAGTTCTAACTTGAAACTTATTAAAATATGCTAAGTAATTTAAAGTTCACATTGTGCATGTTGATTGGTTCCGACGATCTTAAAAGAAGAAGAACGACATTCTTATAAATCTGGATAAGCCGATCAAAGTAATCTTCAGGTTGCATGAGATACCAAGCCTCTATTTGACACACAAAAAAAAAATAAATATTTATAAATAATTACAAATCATCTATCATCTGCACTCGCCTACTATACGAGCTGCTTCCGATCTAAGACGTAGGTATGCTCTTGCATACGGGCCTTGAAGTTTTGACGAGTGTCTAGCATTGTCAAATTCATGATAGTACGGAAGGGCCAGATATACGCGTAGCGTCTCTGCATCGGGTGGCGATTCCGGAAGGCTCGATAACATTTGACTCACTTGTTCTACAAACTTTAAACCAAATAAAAAAATTAAATTCATAATTTAAGAAGGTTAAAAATATAAATATATTACAATGTCTTTAATGGAGGGATTCTGAATTCGACTAATTCCTGAGTATATGCTCTTAACCAGTGCCATGTCGACTCCATGATGTTTAGAAGTACAGCAAAAATGCTGATCTTTTTGCATGAGAAATGAACCGTTTAAGCAATAAGATGATCCAGCAACAGTTTCCAAATACCTTCGATTTTAATTATTAATTGTAAAATTAATAAGAGTTGATATATGTTAAACACTTCTTGACCCACTGTATTAGTTCTTGGTCAACTTGAGCCTTTTTGCCAACTTTTTGACATTCTGCCACTTTCTCAGGAGTAATACTCCATATTTGTGTGTCCGGTGGTAGTTCCCGATAATCGCTCGGCTTTGTTTTACTCTTTAAAATAAAAATTAAAGGTTCTTTTAAGTATTAATTAGTAAGTATATTAATATTATAAATATATAATAAAAATAAAAATATACATCATTTGGCTGAACAATGACCAAGCAGTGATCTCCACCAGCAAATAACTTGTTGACTCTAAATTTGGCAACAGGCATCAACCAAGGGCCTTGAACGACTTGTGGACTGTTCGAGTTGATGAGTTGTTTAGTGCCCAACTGTCCGGCACCACCAAGGCCAAAAGCATACACTTTTCCTCTCGACGGTATATAAGCTAGTGTATGGCGCCTTTTAGGAAGGAAAAAAAATTAAAAAATGAATTTTAAACCGATGAAAATAATCAATTACCTTCCACAAGTCACTTGAGTCACAGTGCTGCCCATCAATTCTAAAACTTTCCTCGGAAGGATTTCATTCGAGGAGGAACCGTGGCCTAGTTGACCATACTGTCCAGCTCCGCAAGTTAAAACGCCTCCATCCTTAGAAAAATATTCAATAACTGTTATATTTTAAAATAAATAAATTAAATTACTTGAGTAAGAAAAACGCTGAAATCTTCGCCGCAGGAAATATATTTGACTTTAATAGACCTCAGGGTTTTAAGCTGACAAGGATAAATGTGATCTACATCTGAATTTAATCCAAGCTGTCCAAATGTATTTTTACCCCATCCATAAACAGCTCCTAAAAATGGTACAATAAATTAAATTCAAACCAAATTGCTCGATAAAAAAAATTCCAAATAAATGTTAAATTATACAGTATAACCCCTTTTATTAAATAATTTTTAGAATAAACCACCTGATTTTGAAATGGCAAAACTGTGGTTGGCACCACATGCTATAAGGGCAATAGGAAGTCCATTTAAGCTGGAAACCAAAGTGGGTTCTTTTACAGATTTTACTTTTAACCCAAGGCCCAGCTGACCGTTTTCATTGCTCCCCCAACTGTACAATTCACCCTCTGAAATAAAATTATATTAATAAGCCATACAAAATTCTAAATCAGTGTGTCTGGGTATACAAAAATTAATAAGTATGTAAAAACAAAATGATCAGTAAATACAATAATAGATAAAAACAACATACTCACTGTTTGTAAGGGCCATACAATGATTGTAACCAGATGCTATTTGTACAACAAAATTCGTAGCGATTGACCTTATTATCTTCGGCTTTGGTAAATTCTTTATCGCCTGGCCTGGAAGAAAATATCATCAGGACTATTGGCTGTGGAGAAAATTTAAAACCCACCTAACTGTCCATGAGTGCCGTCTCCCCAGGCGTAAATTTCTCCCCAATAATTGAGGGCCAAGGAATGGTTTTCACCGCACTGGGCATCTTTGATTTTAAATGCTTCTAATCCGAGAACTAGCTCTACAAATTGGCTATCATTACATAACAAAAACGAGAAAATCAGTTCGTCGGTAACGTACGAAGTTTTGTCCTTGTCTTATCATGGCCCAGCTGCCCAAAATCATTGCTTCCGCAAGAATATAGCTCCCCATTTTGAGTAACAACAAGCGTATGAGCTTTTCCACAAGATACTAAGAAACAAGTGCAAAAATTAACAAGATATTTTGGCAATGATAATATATATTTGCACTGTACAAAATAAATTGCATAAAAATATATTATTCTCTTTCTTAAGATATATTTATTTATTTTTATTAAATTTTAAAACAAACCTAAAATAATAATAAAAAGCATCACAGAATCCTCAACAAGTAAGTTTAATTTTTTTTTTTTTTTAAGAAAAAAGCTTGAACCCAAAATAATTGTAGAGATTCTAGGTATCTACCATATCTTCACCATACAATATTTTTCATACCTAGGTTTTAAAGCCAAGCAAGCTAGAAAGAAGAATAGAACAAGAAAATAGGAATAGAAAAAGAATCAGGAAACAAAGCAAAATACAAGGTACAGAAAAATATGCGCGCACAGAAAAAGGCATCATCTGGTTTTATTTGAATTTAACTTCAAAAGAAAAAATATATTTTTGAAAAACCTGTTTTACACAATGAAGGTCATGGGTATAACACAAACCTATATGTCATAAGCACATAAGGTGATTGTAAGCATAAGCATATACAGCATACAAAAAACAACAGTATGATCTCTGTAAAAGGGCTGAAAATCAAAGCACATTGCAGGGGAATATTGGGGAATGGAAAAGAAGAAATAAAGCAAGCACTGCCTGTGCTATGCAAAACAGCTTTATTGTATTTATTTATTTCAAAAACTATATGATGTTAATAAACCCAATACCAAATACACACAGGAGTGCTCCAAGTGGACTCTTTTGTTCCAACTTTGGTGAAGTGGTGAATTCAAGAATAACTAGATGTGTATTAGCTTTCCAACTACTTTAAATTGATCAAATTCACACATAATTAATAAACATTCAAAGACAAGAATTTTTTACAAGTTGGAACTTGATCTTGATGAAATTACGTAACTTTTATTCATAAGTTGTAGCTTAGCTTATTGCTGGTGAAGTTCAAGTGATAAATTACTGTCCCGTTAAATTTATAACAACTATTGAAGCTCAACTGCGATTTACCACCTCAACAACACTCAAAGGGTTTCGGTGGCCGCAACGGTTCAGGCGTTGATCACGGCACTCAACACTGTAAGGTAAAGGTCCCGAATTCAAACCTGGGGAACTGAACTTACAAATGGGCTTTTTTTCAAAAACACTGGCACCCTGAGGGCTTTTATGACCTCTGCTGTTGCGAACCCTCGGGTGGGGGAGAACACTCAAACCAACCTTCTAAACTTCTCAAACATTAATTGACACTATTAAAAAGTAAAATAATGCTGAAGAATAATGCAATTATAACTAAAACAAAGGAAGTTTCCTAATCAAGGGTAAAATAAAGTGAAATGATTGCTTTAAGTTGGCCATTGAATTCAAGGCAATAGAAAAATAACTAAAATAAGCAGCTATTTAGATAGGTCAAGCTTTCTTAATAATGACAAAAAAACAGATCTTATGATGATCTCTTAACTACAGTAAAAGGGCTGAAACCACCTCACAAATCAACTGTGAGGGTTTAGGCACCTTGTCTACACAAAATTCTAAAAGTACAGTAACACACAAGAAAGTGTTCATCCACTTATGAGGGGTTGCCATTGAGAAGGGCATTAAATATTTAGATTTTTTTATAAGAAAAATTGCAGATAAAGACATTTCATGCTCATTACACAGTCTTCACCATTGTAAATCATTTTTCATCTTCATTATCTTTATAAAATCCAAAATAGCTTCTTTTTTAAAATTTTGTTAGTCAAATGAAGCAGGATAACAAGTACTTGAGAGCCAAGATGTACCTTATCTACTCCAGACCAAATAAATAGGATGGCAATTCTAATATTGATTACAGCAATCAGCATGTCAAGCAGAGGGCAAGAATTTTTGGTGCTTAAGCGAAAGAAAACTTTTTAAAGAAGAAACAGAATATATGAATTATTTATTTAGTGGGACTCCTTTGTGCTACTCTCACCCATAAGAACAAATTGTCATATCATTGTCATGATAGAAAACACAGATTTTTAGAAACATCAAAAAAGGACAAAAATTGCACCCCACATTATTGAGTTGCAACTAGGCATATGCTGTCTACATAAAACCAAGGTAAAGCTAATAAGCAATTTTTTAGAAGACATGATTAAACTGTATTGTAAACGTAGAGTATATACAAGCACAAATTTAACTGGCCGCATTAATATAGCTTTCAACGATCAAGCATAAAAGTTCAAAGATAATTCAAGGTAGTAGGTAAATAATTGAAACAAAAATTTATTTATGGCAGGTGTGCATGGAAACACTCCTGAGAGAACAAACCAAGGAGGATAGGCAGACCAAAATGATCTGAAACATCCAAGTTGCAGGATCTTCATCCCTCAGACTACATGGAGAAATCTAACAAGAATTTATGTATTTGTACTCTCCTCAGTAAATGCTGCTCTCACTCAATAAAAATAATTTGGAACTGTCATGATAGAAAACAGGTTTTAGAAACTTGTCTGCAAAAGAAAAAATCGCATCACACATCATCGAGAAGTTGTGCCTAGGCTATCTCTGTAAAACCATACAATACCACCAAATGTGACTGTAAGGATGTATACGCAGAATAATAGTGCATATTATCAATAAATGATGTTTTAAAACTTAAGACACATAAGTAGGTCGATCTTAAATGGTTGCTTTGCATAGGTTTTGACCAACCACTGGAATATGAGCTACAGAAGGTAGTTACTTGACAGTTGATGTGCTTATTAAGAAAAAAACTTGTGAAATTGAGTATGCTAAAAAAAACAGACATAGGTTTTCATCTTAAACCTAACTCAGCACTTCTGCATACAGGTTGAATACCACTTCTAATTGATTGTGTCTCAAAGAGACATGTTTTGTGAAAATGACAAAACAGATTGATATGTTTTGGTTGATGCAGATATAGAACTAACGGAAAGTTGGCAGACAAGAGGAATAGTGGAGTGAAATGGTTGTCCCCGATTTTCCTTACTTGACTTGACTGTTTGGGCATGAGGGAAGGGTAGCTCCCTCGGCGAGAGGACATACTGCTCCTCGATGCCTCCCAACCCGAGTTCACCGTTGGCGGTGTTACCCCAACCGAACATGACCGTTATCGTTATGGTTGCAAAGCCGTCCTCAGCTAGACTTTCGTCCTGCCATGCGTCTTCTCCATTCATCTGTCGACATGACATACCTGCATTAAAAAAATTCTCGTAAAATAAGCAGAATGTTTAGTCATCAAATGGTTGGATTCCGTTCGAAAATGTGCATCGACGGACTGGCCTGGTGAAAAAATCGTCTTACCAGGGTATCCGCGTCCGACATTTATGCCTTTTCTTCTGATGACCTGTGTGCCGAGTTTCGAAAGTTCTGTCCCAACTGTTTAAAATGGCATGTTAGCTCGGAATTTTAAATTTCTTCTTTATATGGAAAATATCTTTTAAATTCTAAGGAGGTAGCTACAAGGTTCTAGATAATCTTGCGTGTTAACTACAAAGAGAAACCGACAATGCCAGTTGGATAAAAACATGCTTAGTCAACATGAATCTCAAAGAAACAGGCGATATAAACACCGAAACGAAACCGCATTTCCTAAAGGAAAAGAAATTATCTTTAGAAAATATCAGTTTTTTAACTGAACAACAAACAACGTCCGTTATTATAACTAGTTTTCTTCTTCCTTGCCAGTTGCCAGAGCCCTCTTTGATTAATACCAATGATTTTGCGATGATTTTAATTTCTTGATGAAATAGCTTTCCAATTTACTCATGTTCTCACGCAACCCACGATATTTCATTAAAAGGCGATTCTATTCCACCATGAAACAAAAACAACCGGCAATTAGATAAAACAAAAAATGATATCATGAGACTATTGGCCAGCGACAGTCTTAAGATAATTCCGACTATAGATTAAAGATTTTTATTTTTAAGATTAATATAAATTGTTTCAGAGCTTACTAACAAATTCGTTTTAATTAGACAATTGCAACAGAGCATCTTGTACAGGTGGTGCCTTTTTTCTATGGTACGTCGAGAAATACTCATTAAAAATGTACTGAAGACGACGCTTAAATTGTATCGAAATGATTTAAATAAAAAAGTGTATACGTAGGACATGCTTAAATAATTGCCTAAGCCATATGAAAAGATATTCAACAAGAATAAAGAAAAAGTGAAGAAAATTATTTTAAAACAATGATTTTACTTAAATGTATCATTACTAAAATATTCCACGACAGAAATTGTAGGTCGCATTGGAACAAGCGATTTCGGTGACCAGTGACCCCGAAGAAAGAGTGTTTAACTACTAAAATCTTGGACCTTAGATTTTAAAGATCGTAGTGGAAGAAAGGGATAGTTTGGTCGCCAGTGACCCCCAAGAAAGGAAATATCACTACTAAAATATCCCTCAATAGAACTTTCGGGTCGTAGTGCAAGAAAGGAAAATTTTGGTCACCAGTGACTCCGAAGAAAAGATGTATCACTACTAAAATATCCCACAATAAGTCTTGCAGGTCGTAGTGGAAGAAAGGGAAATTTTGGTCACCAGTGACTCCGAAGAAAAGATGTATCACTACTAAAATATCCCACAATAAGTCTTGCAGGTCGTAGTGGAAGAAAGGGAAATTTTGGTCGCCAGTGACTCCGAAGAAAAGATGTATCACTACTAAAATATCCCATAATATATCTTGCAGGTCGTAGTGCAAGAAAGGGAAATTTTGGTCACCAGTGACTCCGAAGAAAAGATGTATCACTACAAAAATATCCCACAATATATCTTGGAGGTCGTAGTGCAACAAAAGGATAGTTTGATCGCCAATGACTCCGAACAAAGGATGTATCACTACTAAATTATCCCACAATATATCTCGCAGGTCGTAGTGGAAGAAATGGAAATTTTGGTCACTAGTGAATCCGAAGAAAGGACGTATCACTACTAAAATATCCCACAATATATCTCGCAGGTCGTAGTGGAAGAAAGGGAGAATTTTGTCTGCAGTGACCCCGAAGAAAGGATAAAATATCCCACAATAGATTTTGTAGATCAGAGTGGAAGAAAGGGAGAATTTTGTCTGCAGTGACCCCGAAGAAAGGATAAAATATCCCACAATAGATCTTGTAGATCAGGGTGGAAAAAAAGGGGAATTTGGTCTCCGATGAAAGGATGTATCACTACTAAAATATTCCACAATAGATGTTGTAGGTCGAAGTGGAAAAAAAATTTTGGTGACCAGTGACTCCGAAGAAGGTATTATTTAAAATTATGTAAAACTTTCTGTACTTACAATTCTGTTAGCTTTAGGAAAGATTTATTTTTAAAAAAGTAATTAACTGACGAAAAACCATAATAAGATGGCCGGGTCTTTAAATCATTCATGCAAGCTGTGGGCTTTTTTCCATTTTTCTACTTAACTTCTTTTAAATTTTAACTTTATTCAAGCTTCTCCTTTATACAGCTTTTTTATCGAATGAACTGTATATTACAGTGAAATCCTCCCTTCTGAACAATCTTAAAAAGCAGAACGACTTAAAAGCTGCACCAAACGCAAAGGCTCTTTCGACATTATGCTAACATACGACTGGATAAGCCATGTTGCTATGTGCAATTTGTACTCAATGCTTTGTTGGTTTTTATGACGAATGGTGAGAATTCAATCTTGTACTCGTGTAATCCTAGGAGTAAAATTATATTTCTTGGAATTATGCTTGAAGATAGTCTGCTAGAGATAGAACAATTAAAAAATCAACAGCTTTAATTTATATAATTCTTCCATACAATAAGAGTGTAATTTACAATATGGATTACAGGAAACAATAATTCGATCCTCATCGCATATAACATAGGACCCAAAAGGTAACGCCGAAAAGAAAATGAAAATATGGTTTTTACGAAGGAAGGATGAATCGACCGCAGAAGACCGCATCCCTGATTTACAACTTACTAGTGATTTTGTTTTTTATTAGTGTACAACTTAAGCAGATAGGTTACATGAAAAAACATAAGTAGCGTGTTAAGCGTGAATGAGAACCACCCATCGATGAGCAACATTAATCAGATATTTCGACTGCATGATATGACCCGATGGATGGCCATATGTGCGCAGTTAATCGCGAGGGCATCGTCTAAATCTCATAAAAGGATTGGTAAAGAGGCTACTAATATAAAGATCATTGGACAAAAGATAATTTGGAGTGAAATTTGATGTATCGGGAATTGGCTAGGTTAGTAACATAAGGAATTTGGATAATGAGTAGAGACTATGGTAACTAATAAAGAACAGATCATCTGGGATTGTGCGGAGAATTTTGGACTGAAGGGAGTGGATCCTATTTTGATTTTTTAGACGTCCCGGTCAATTTCCAGTCAGTAAGTCCATATAGTAACTAGGTGAGCTGAATAAAAAAATTTTTGTGAATAGTAAGCCTTGACCGCAGCTTTTTGGTTGCTTTGTATCTGTAGTTAAATTTATTTTATGTTTATTTCGAGTTTTAGTGTAAAGGATACATATGGGAATTTGTTTTCATTTCTTCTGTTCTCCATTTACGGAACCATGGTTCTAAAGTAAGAAGATGGTCCTGGAGGGATCGAAAAGAAAGGATCACGGGTTGCAAAAAATATTGCCGGATCGTCGGAAAAAGTGAACCTAAGATGCTCTATTGAGGACTGCCTGAAATGGACAGAATGGATCAGTTAGCTTTAGGGTCGGCAGATAACAGGATGAGATAATACCTAGAAAGAAGGACGAATGTCGGAACGGGTTCCTTCCGTGTAGAAAAGACTCCAGGGAAAAACTGCTTATGCTCTAGGGATGTTGTCAATGATCAAAACATGAATTTTCAGAAAATATCCTGCTAATTGTTACAGCCTACTTCCTCTAGCCAAAGTGATATCTGATCCAGTAGCTAGTAGTGATACTACTTGCTGGAATACTTCTTCCATTATTTTTTTAACATAATTTTTTTTTGTAACTAAACGTAGTTGTTTTACTTTTTTAAGCAAAGATAAAAGCACTCTCGACACGATACGCAAGAATGGCACAATTACACAGAAGACAAACACTTTGAGCCCTGAAGATGATCTCAATAAAGATCGAAACGTTGGTACGATAAAGAAAATGTTTTTCTGAAACCTACATCACACCAGACCGCACCTCACGATTTCTAAATAAACAAAGATAAAAGTTTAAATATATAAATCCTTTAATCATCGAACATTGTACTTTCGTACACCTCTCTTCCTCTCTATCCTTATACTTTCTCCTATATCTTTCCGGTCATTCTTTTTTTTTTCTTCGAATTGAGGTTCAAACGCATCTTTGTTATACATATCTCTACCGTGTTAAATAAAAACGGCTAAAATTACCTAATAATATTATTTTCCTTCAAAATTCCGTTTTTTCATTAAATATTTCAATGTGTTAACTGACCCCCCTCATATTAGAAAAAAATTTAAATAAACCGAATAATTCTAAGCCGAAAAAATGTAGCTTTAAAAGAACATATAAAGTAATAACAGGTCTAAACTTTCGACCAAGTGTCCCCCTCCTTTAAAACTTTATAGAATGGTGAAGTGCCGCATGGGAGACCCTGTGCTCATAAAAGTTCGTAACTTTTTTGAAACGAGACGGAAACTTTAGACCACATGATAAATCGATACCTTTTTAAAAGGTAATATCGAAGATTTCAATCGATGTCTCCCGTTCAAGAGTGTTGGCAGGGAAGGGGGATGAAATTATATTGATCTGAGGGACCAGCATCCCTTATCCCTCCCAGTTCCCGCCTAGACTCACTGAAGACAACACGACATTATTCTCGGGTAAGTGTTCTAATAACCTTCATACAGATCGTTGCACTTTAAAAAAAATAATCTAATTTGTCGCCTTAAAGTTGATTTTTTTAAATATATTATTTGTAACAAAAAATTATTTATGGAGGTAAAAAATGTTTAAAAATATATGAAATATTGATATTTTTTATTTGAAACAAAGTGCTCATGTTGTAAAAAAAAATTGCGTTAAATATTTTTAAACACGATAAATCTTAAGTGCAAGTGAAAATTTGAAAATATATATTTTTATGTAGTACATCGCACGTTAAAAATTTCAAATTTTTCCTAAGCAGACAAAATTTCCGAATACGAAAACGTTTATTTAAAATAAGAAAGTATTACAGATTGCACACGATGTTCACGCGTTGAAAGGCAATTTTTGTCAAAATTTTAAATTTAACGTCCTGATTTGCAATTGGGATGATAATCCGAGTGATGCCATTACTTCTGCCACAAAGGGTCCCAAGTTTGATACTGAGGGTTGACAGGCGATCTGTTGGCAGCTGTCAATCGTACTAACAACTTGTTTTAGTCTTACAAAGCAACTTTTCTCAACTGATGCAATAAATATCTACCTATTTGTTTCCTATATCCAGACAGGAAAAAAATTGATATAATTTCATCATGAACTGCAAGATTATTTTTATGTTTTCTTTAAAGGTTGAAA